TTGTCCAAATCCTCAAAGCCTTGTGCACTACTCTATTTTCTAACATAATGCAAAATAAATACAGGGAAGCAAACAAAGAACTGATGGCAAAAGCTGGTCAAAAGAGATCTGCAACAAAGCATTTGATCAGCCTGTATGAATGCTGCACTAATTACTGCCATAGCCTGCACATAGAAGCTCTTTAAACCCAATTGCAGCTGTAATGATTGGCCACTGCATAACCAAAGCATCATTTCCAAAGGGATCACCCTGTACTGCTTTTTCCTTTCCCTGCTAGCTTTTTAATTGCTGTAACTCTGGTCCCTAGAGAACTATCAGTAATACCCCTAAGGTAATGACATAGCTAAACGAGGCTGTATTTATAGTGCTATTATTTCCCCCGGTAGTACATTGCAGTGCACAGAGAAAGCAAGTGGATCCCTCGAGGATTATATCCAAACATATCTTCTATTAAAAAAATAATAATCATCAGAGTGAGTTAATTTTAGCTTTACCTAGGTCTTTCAGGGACACACAGTGGGCCTTAGCCTGGGAAACCAGAGAAGCAACTCAACATGACCTTCTCATTTTCAAGCCAGTTTCCCCTTGCTATTGCTGGGTTAAATTACCAGTGATTAACCTATTTGGTATGGTATTTTAGTGTCATTGCTTTCTGCAGAATGAATGTCAGTACTCACAGTCCTTGCTAGATGCTGCATTTTCTGCAGAAGTGATGGTGGAGAACGTATTACATTTCACCTTATTTTTATGCCATGCAAGACCATTTGCTGTGACAGTGAAATGCCTGGCACTGTCCAAATTCACATCATTCCAGAGAGGTAACTCCTTTATCTCTAATACAGATAGAGTCCATTCTCATGTGAGAGAGATGTTCATTTACTAAAAAAGATGATGAAAATCCTCATCTCGTGGTTGGACTGGATGATCTTGGAGGTCTTTTCCAGTTTTGGTGATTCTATGATCTTGGAAGTAAACTGCAACTGTGGATAACAACACACCTTCTAGATCATGAATACTGATTTCAGCTGTCTACAACGCTGTGTGCCTCCGTGCTTCACACCTCATCCTTTAAGCTTGAGTCTTGCAAACAGCTGTCTTCTCAGGCACACTCTCCCAACAGATATCCACACTACCGTGCTTGGAACCTCTGCCTAGAACAGCACTGAGATTTGTGGGAACACAGCCCAGGTTTCCAGCACTGTTCCTCCTGGAACTGTCCTTCCTCAAACAGCCCCAGGGACAGATGCTATTTTAACCCATCACTGCACATCAGTTGTTGGCACAGCACGCCTCTCCATTTCATTCATCAGATGCTTTTTTTCCAAGCATTTGATTTTGGGCCGCCTTCAGTACTGACTGAGCTGCACATAAAGGTTGTGGAAGAAGCCAGCAGAGCTGGATGAGAACTGCTCCTATGATTGCTCCCCTACCTGCTGTGTTCAGAGAGGGAGAAGTAGCACTGCATGGTGAGACAGAACTGCGATGCAAATGCAAAAAGTTCAACAGTGGCTGCAAAATATTTACCTGAGGGGGCAAAACTTCATCTCCAGCCCCAGTGAGATTTTGTGGTGCCTCTTTAAGGTTATTACCTGCCATTCACCAGCCTCAAGAATAGACTGCTATCAGAGCTGGGCTTTTACAGCAGTTTTCCCAAAAACAGTAGGACCAGCACTGCTGACCTGAAGATGTGGTTTCCTAACAACAAACCAACCCTAACAATTAAATTGAATTCTTGCTCTGGGACAGATATTTAAATACTGCTTCAGTGGCAGGAGGACAGATCAGGAAGGATCTTGATCAGCTACTAAACAAAGCATATTTAAACAGTCTCATATCTGTCTTCCCATTCAGTGCTACAGAGCTTCAACAAGGCTCTGGGGGAAAAAAATGGAACTATATCACTTGGATTTGGCCACTGCAGGCAATTTACCTTAGCAGAATATGTAAATATGTGATGGAACCTTTGCCAAACACACACTGCCTCTCCCCCTGTCCTCTCCTCTCCCTGGCTTCAGGGTGGAGACAGATTCCTCAAACACACTTGCAAGGCCAGCGATAATCTCTAATGCTTTTCAAGACTATGAGATGCCAGGAATGATAGATTTCACAGATGAAGGAGTTTAGTACAAGAACAAGTCTTTCTCCTTTTAAGAGGATTTTTTTTTTTTTCTTTTTTTCTTTTTTTAAATCTCTGATTATTTCAATAATCCTATTTGTACGCTGTGGCCTCACAGGAAGATCTATTGATAAAGCGGCATGAGGGAAAGCCTAGGACACTGGAAAGGGAATAATTTTTGTCTGAAAGTTTTGCTATTAAAGAAAACATGGTATTGAATTACCTTAAGTCACATTTTGTTAGAGTGAAATCGTGGAAGTATGCCCACACTGGTTCTGTCCTTCACCCCACGGCTTCCCACAGAACGGTCACAGAGGCAGTGGCGGTACTGACTGGGCTGAGGTTCAGGTTCTCTGCTGAACAAGCCAGAAAGGTCTCACCAGGCAGGCAGTGAAGCAAAGCCCTCTCTCCATATCCAGAGAGCCAACACTGAGCCCAGCAGCAAGGCCTCAGCAGCTGCTGTGCCCCTCCACAGCCCTAGGGAGGTCTGAGGCAGCTGGGAGAGCTGTCCTGCTGGGAGGACCTGGGGCTAAGTGGTACACAGCAGCCAGGAATGGTCAAACACATTAGGTGATAAGAAACCGCAACAGCCACTGAATAATGTATGGGATAAACTATTTCTGAAGCGTTTCATCAGCCCTACTGGCTATCCTTGCTTTTGCTGAATCAACAGCCCCCAGCAAAGCTTATGCTCAAGAGAAAACAAGCAGCACTGTGACAGGTTAGGAGAGACATTTACTAAATTAAAGGCATGGCCCACTTGCCCCTCTGAGCCATAATACAGTGCATACATGGAAATCCACACAGCTAAACGCATCTCTCTCTGAAGTAGCTGTCTGTGCATACACAATCTGCCCCTTTCAAGGTTTTTCCATTAACGTACCCATGTGTAAAGATATAAATCAAAATGAAAGAGAACACTGCAGGCCAGCAGAAAGTAAAAGCGAAAGAAATTACATTATAGGATGTTTTGCAAAAGGTGGCGATTAGCTATTATCAGTTAAAAGAGCAGACATGGAGATTCAGAACCTTAGTGGCCCACAGCAGAGGGCTAAACAGGTTGGGGGAAAACAATGCTTTCACCCGGTCCTGAAAACAGAAACATGGCAGAAAAAAAAAAAAAGAGATTAAAACCATTGCTGAATTCACAATGATATGCAGAATTTACAGCAAGCAGAAATGAGGAGACAATAGCATCGACTTCCTTTGCAATGTCAGAGGACACGATGCCTGGCAGTGCAGCAGCGACCAAAGCCTCCTGGCAGGAGGAAAGGCCCTCACAGGTGCACGATAACCTCTGGGCGCCATCCAAAGAGCTGATGTGACACACGAGGCTGCCCAAACCAACACAGGAAAGGGATTAATGTGAACGATTCCTGCACTTCACTAAGTAGTTCCTGAGATGCGTTGTGAGGAAATTATCAGGTTTTCACTACAAATATTCCCCACAGACATCACTCACCACTGCAAAAACTTAAATCCTTCCTCCCTGCCACATTGTTCCAAATGGCAACTGCCGTTTTACAGGCGTGGTGGGTTTTCAGAAATAGAAAGAAAGCCTGCCAAGAGGAGTTGTTGCTGAAGAGAAGGCAATTTGATCAATACTGTGATGACCAGACTCCTTCTGGTAGCAGATGAGCACCTGTGGCCCACAAGGTCCCACAGTTATGCCATCCTCCTGGGAAAAACACCTGCTGGATCCCCTTGGTAGGCCAGGCAGAGAGATCACTGCCCAAATAGTTTGCATTCCAGTACACACTGGGCTCTGCAGCTCAAAACTTGAATTCCCTTCACATTTGGGGCTAATGATGCACAAGCTGGGTGCAGCTGGTAGCCAGGAGAAGGCAATCTCACTTCATGCCCTCGGTCATGCTGTGATGCCAGCGGGGTGACAGCAGCACAGCCCGTTTTTGGCACGGTGAATCAGCCAATCAGGCTGTCAGAGCTGGTGCCAGCACACAGGAAAACTGCCAGCTGCCATTCGGTGCAGGAGCAGCCCCTATCTGGCAACATTATGTTTTACACTGCTCAGCACTGCTATTAAATACAGGAGCCATTTGAAAGCACTACAACAAGGTTACACGTAACAGGTTTAACCAAAGCTTTGTATTTTCCTGCTATGGAAACCAGTCATAAGAACAAAAAAGCTGTCCAAAGCAGGAATTTCATGTGCTACTCTCTCCTAATCTGCCCTGTTCCCTTCTGAAGTCCTAAAACTGATGAATGACGACACGGACCGGACCAGTTGCAACCAGCCCAAAGCAGCAATCTCAGCTTTCTACATTAGCACTCTGCTAATATGTATTATCAGGGGTCACACCAAAGCACAGAGGTGTTTCCCCTGCCACCTCCAAATGACCTCATTAAATGCCAATTGCTCCATCCTCACCAAACAAGTTCCCCATGAACAGGAAAACAACAGAGCAGTTAAGCTGTAAAGCCTTAGGACAGGTTTGGGTTTTTTTTCCCAGGAGCAGTAATAAACCACCTTGCTCCAAACAAATAGGCAACAGAATGAGAAAGGCACCACAATATCTAGAAAAACTCTCAAAAAATAGCCATAAACTTGCAGCTTGTCCTTAACTCCTAAGAGCAAAAAAATACACAGACAGAACACAACAAAAGGTAAACTGAGACTCAAAACCTTCAGAAAATTGGACAGCTAAGCAGCACAATCATCACAGATTAAAATCTGCCAGGAAAGCCAACATCAAGTTAATTCTATTTCAGAGCATGGAGGAGGCCAAGAGAACCTCTTAAGACTTCACAGCTGTAGCAATTGGACAAACCAATACAATGGGAAAGGCATTACAACAGAGATGTGATGACAGAAGGACCAGCACGAGAGAAGGGTGCTACAAAGCAAAGGAAAAAGACTGCTCACCTGTATCAGAAGATTCCAGGTTCCCGGGGGAAGCTTTCACTAAGGAAGGATGTCCAGCAAAAAGATCCTTCCCTGGGGCAGTCAGCCCTTAAATGAGGTCTAAGAGAGGTGCAGCCAGGCTCCACCCCTTCTGATCACACAGCTGAATTGCCTTCACCTGTGCTCCCAGCTCCTTTCCACAGGTGCTCAATCAGTGGGTCAGGCCGTGACTCAACAGTTCCTTTTTTTCTGTGAACCTAAAGTCACTGGTATTTCGTGATGAGCACCAAGAACCAGAGCACTCAGAACTGTGTACTGCACGGTTTTATACCTTAACAAATATTTTCCTGCTTTTTAAACACTTAAGTAAATTCTTTATAGGGTTTGTAAGCTATGCTCCCATCGAGGCCCTCCAGCTGGTCTTCCTTTGTCACATTACACCACAGGAACCTCTGAGTTTTCCCTGCCACACAAGGCAAACCCCACTGCTATCAACGGACTCCACTCAGCCACAGAATAAAATTGCATCCTGCTCCATCCCTGGAGGTGTTCAAGGCCAGGATGGATGGGGCCCTGTCCAGCCTGATCTGGTGGATGGGAATCTCGTCCATAGCAGGGCACTGGAACTGGATGTTTTTAATATCCTTTCCAACACAAGCCATTCTGTGATTCTTTGACTCTATATAAAACACCTGAGAAACTGTAACTTTGGTAACATCCAAACATTTTTTGTGTGTAGTGCAGAATGTAGCATTGCAGGATCAGAAGTGCACCACCAACACTGAGCCATTCAGATGGAGCAACAAATGAACGACGATGTACACATGGCAGCTCTGCACCAGGCAGCCCCATGCAGGATCGGAGTGCTGCACCAGATCACCCCACATCTCAGTGAGTGCAGAGATCACAGAATTGAGTTGGAAGGGGCCTTTAAAGGTCATCTAGGCCAAATTCTCTGCAGTGAACAGGGACCCATACAGCTCCCTCAGGTGCTCAGAGCCCCATTCAGTCTGACCCCCAGGAATGGGGCATCCACACCTCTGGGCAACCTGTGCCAGTGCCTCACTGCCCTTATCATGAAAAAACCCTTTTTCCATATATGCAATCTAGATCTCCCCTGATGCACAGCTTGGCTGAATTGCTGGGGTACAGGGGCACAGAACCTCTTTGTGTGCAAATACATGAGAAGGATCACGTATTTTATTTGTTGAATTCAAATAACTTTTCAGTCTAAATTGCACTTTGTGTGTTCTAAACATTATGCAAGTTTCAGATTTTCTGTTTATTTTAAAGTCGTCTTTGTTACTGGTCACAACATACATGTATTTATATGGTCTTAAAAGTACCACCTGGAATCACGTCCCAAGAAACATTGTCCTGGTAGACTACATGTATACTGCTGAATGAGGATGAGTTTCAGAAAGACAGCACATCTGTTGGTGGGTTATTTTTTGTTTGTTTGTTTCGTTTTTGTTTGTTTGTTTACTTTTTATTTAAAATGTGAGCCCACTCTCCATTAATTACATTTCCAAAGAGCAAATGCATCTCTCAAACTCAGCTGCATCAAACCCCCCATGCGCAAGGCCAACACAAAACATATGCTACAGATGCCTCCTGTGCCTTTGCCTTTGTGCAGTTATGCCCTAGGTCTGCCCTAAGGGAGGAAGCTTCCTGCAGATGGGCAGTGGTTAGAAGCACTGCAGCTCTCAGGGAAGCCCCTCTGGCTAGATTAAACATCTGCAAAGAGCTCTGCCATTTCGAAACAACACATTTTTGTCATCTATTCCCATACAGCCAAGATCTTGTTTTCAGAGCACCCAAGTCCATGCTGCAGGGTGGACATGTGAACTTAGAGCCACATACTGCCAAGACATGATGGCATCTAGTACTGAGAAGATATCAGGAGAAATATCCAAAGTTAATGTACATGTACACAGAATTCAACTAATTACTGCAGAGCTTCAGCATTTCTCAGATCTCCTTGAAATTTAAAACTCTCCCACTTCTTCAAACACATATGTAAGCTGCTGAAAGATCCATCTAAAAGCCAGACCCCTTCTGAATCAAAAGTTGTCCGAGTGCCAATTTACCTAGAGTCCCTAATAACATCTGAAATCCGTATTTCCTTTTGAACTCTTACAATCACAGGCTTAAAAAATAATGTCTCTTTGCTTCTCAAATTCAGGAATCCCAGAGAGGTAAGAATAAATTGTGACTCCCTGCCTATTTGCATCCAGCAGTGAGAATATTTCAGGCTTTGATATCTCCATAGTTGAGCTCCGTAGCATGGAATGCGTTTAAACTTCTCCCAAGATCTCCAATCCAAACATGGCATCTTGGTTTGCTAACTGTTCTGAAAAGTCTGAACACTCATCTCTAGGTTCCTTGCAACACAAGCCAACCCACCTGCACACCCTGAACGATGTTCTGTAACAACAAAGCACATTTGGGTAGGAAAGTCTGAAGAGATTTTATAGGACACTGTGGAAGAAATGCTCCCACTGTCAAAAAAACAGGAGGGGAGGAGGGATACAGGAAGGCTCAAAAGTTTGCAAAACATGCCTCATTTGTTGACTTAAAGTTACCTGGGAATTCTGTCTTTCACAGCTGATGGACGTGTTTTGGCTGCAGGCTGCTTTCACACAGCACTACACACAGAAACATGAACTATCCCTTGCACCTGGCTCAGCAGCTCTTAACCTTTTCCAATGTCAGTTCTGAACAGGTCTCCCGCACACCTCAGTCTTTCACAACAGGCCAGCTTTTCTTAGTTATGCTGCATGGGACTCGCAAAGAAGTTCAAAGAGAAAATCAGGTTTAAAACCACCATTACGTAAATCTGAGGTTTAAAAATACAGGAGCAAAGGTCCCGAGGTCCACAATCATCAAATGACAAAATGGCTCAAGCCTTCAAACTAGCAGTGCTGCATTCATAGATTCAGCTTTCCCCAGCCTCTTGCAATGTCATGCTATGGAAAGATTAGATCCTAAGGCAGGCGAACACACATATGGTGCTGCCTGCTAAATGCTAGCAGCTACTCCAGAGTCAGCGTTTGGGAAAAGTATGAGAGCCAGTATAATCCTATTTAGTTCTGAGAGATCAAACGGGGTTGGTAAGAGGGTAACATATCCACAGATTAGTGGAATGTTCTCAATTTTAGCATGGCCACTTTGAGATCATGTTCAGAAAGCATTTTCATTTAGAGATAAACAGTTTTTGACCATATCCCAGACAGATTAGAATTATATGAAGTTCTGAATGTCACATTTAAAACCTGGAAATGGTACTCATAAAACACCATTCCCTTCTACCTATCCCTCATACAAATTGACTGGCTTACTGATACGAGAAGCTGGCTCTCCCACAGCCATATGCTATATAAACAGAAGGAACACACCATTTTTCTTAGCAGTCAAACTCTCATTAATATCCTCCATTTTTTCCAAACAAGATCAGAAGGAACAAAATGGTTAAAGATATTATAAAATGCCAATTGTTTAAGCAAACAAGCCCATCCTGGTATTATCTACGATTAATTCTTAGAGAATGTGAGATGATGCACTGATCCAAGTGTCTCACAGCTCAGCGGATAGCTGCCTGCCTAACTGAACACACAATTAAAGCTGTTGACAGTTCTAAGGAACTTCTCAGAATTTGCTGTTAACAAATAGCTGAGACATAAAACTACCAAGTCTTTCCTCTTAGTCCCTTGTGCTCTGCCACTGCCTTGGAAACAGCAGTATGATTCAGGTCACAGCAGAGAAGCCTTCACTCAAGGCAACTGTGAGTTTGTTTTTGATGAATGGCTTCCAAAAGAAAAAGCTGTCCATCCACAGGACTGAGCTGTCTGCTTGCAGCACCTACCCACATCACCAAAGGGCAAGAAGGAGCCCTGCTGTAGGATAGGAATGAGCCTTCCACCACTGCCTACTCCAGAAGCATGAAATCACTGCCAGTGGAGATCTGGGGAAACATTAAATGGTTACAGCACACACATTCCTTGTGATCAACCAGAGAAGCATCGTAAGTAACCAAAATAGATGTACAGATGTTACTTATGTGATAAGAACACAGGCAGGCAGAGCTGCAGAAAATTCACTCAGCCAACATCAGGCAGCTCCTGCTATCCTTGAACATTCCCCTATCCGGTATAATTGAGTACACTTAAACACAGACACAAATAGTTTAATATCCAAACAAACATCTGTATTTATAGCAGTACCCCATCTAACACGTACACAGAGTAAGAGCAGCCAGATCGAGACAGCTGGTTGTCAACATAAAAATCTATTCAGTGTTTATCCCACTACCCATGACTAAGCATGACTGTAAGAGAAAAAAAGTACTCTTGTGTTTTGATGAAGATATAACCCCATCTTGGGATACTTTGACTCAGTGAGTAGCAATGTCTTAAGAGTACTGTGGTCAACTGAATTTCCCCTTCCTAAACTAAAGGTTAAATAAGCTGGGAGAAACAGACAGGGAGACATAAAACACTTTTTATAAAACTGCATTCCTCGCTCTGGAGCGCAACAGACAGCACTCAGAAGCTGCTGATGCAGTATCTATATTGCAGGCTGCTGGCTCATTCTGTACGTTCTCAGGAAAGTTTCAGTGTGGAGCTGAAATTAACACTGACTGTGAGCAGGCATGTCATGGAACCGCACACTTTGCTGGGTGCTGAAATTAGGACCAGTTTGTCGTGATAACTTCAGAGGACAATAATAAATTCCCCTATTTTCTATTGAATACACTTGTCTGTCTTTTCCTTCCAAGCGTGCTTTATTTGCACATCCCACTTAAAACCTCATTTTCTCAGGGAATCTGATCCCCCCTCTTATCTGAAACAAATAAATCTCCTGTTTCTATAGCAATGCCTGGTCACATAGTGACAGGTCAAGGCTTCAGTTAGCATTCTACTAGACAACACATCTCTTCTAGCCTTTTACAAACATCCATAAATACTCACCAGTGTCTATAACACGCTTGATGTCACCCTCATTAGATGAATAGACAGATTTTGTTCCTTACGACATCCTTCATATCCTTGACTGAGTTCTTAGAGTTCACTGGGCTAAGGATCCCGTGTGTTTATTCTGGAAGCTATTTCATCTCTGCAATACTTTACCTTAGTCTGACGATCCTCACCATAAGCCTGAACACTTTTGAAAGTGTCTATCCTGCTTGTAAATCATAAGGAAGGTTCAGTAAAATGGCTTAAGACTTCCAAGAAGAAAAAAAGGAACATTAGCTACATCACAAGAAAATTCACAGAACTGTTGGGTAGAAAAACAGACAAACACTTTTAGTCAGTAAGCTAACACTCTGCTATTTCTGTCCTTGCTATTTAAGCCTCTTCTTTCACCATCAGTTGTGAAGCTGTAACTTATAGCCAATACTTTTCAAACTGATCGTAGGTATTCTGCATGTTTTCTCCAAGGGAAAAATGTTCTCATTTCCTTCCCCAAGCAAGAGACAGAAAAAAAAAATGTGGAGTGCCAAGACAGGAAATTCAATCCAATCTGACACGTAACAAGTAGAAATGAGGGTATGGAGAAAGGATAACAACTCAAGTTGTGTTGATGTTAACGTGAAATATTTATCTATCTACAGACAGATACATGTCAGACTCTGGATTACGTGTTTCCCTCAAACCAACATCTATTAACATGCTTGCAAGAAAGAAGAAAACCTCTAACATTGTAAACTGCTGGTGGTTGAGTTTTTTCCAGTTACTTCTGTGAGGGAAAAAAAGAAAGAAAAAACAACCCACCATGTTTTAGCCACGACACTTTGGCTTGATCCTTCCTTATCTGCTGTGGGATGCACTCCTCCCTTCACAAACAGTACAGTCTGAGTAGCAGTTTATTTTAAGCTGAAAAACAAGACTGGAAGATGACAAGCTCACATAGTTTAAATACAGTTACCTTATTCCATACTTGTAAACAAAACTTGATGCTGCTGGCATTACATACAACCAGCACCAGCACTGGACTTACAGCAATAGTAGGTTGCACATCTCACAATGCAGCCCTCAGCCAACCAAGCAGGACAACTTCCCAAACCTGAGCACTGTGTACAAGTGTATGGAACACCCAAATGAAAGATGCTGATTACTGCCATTGCCAGAAACTTTTTAAGTGCTTCACATATGAGAATGGGAATGGTCCTTGAGTATCCATGCAAAATTAAAAAAAAAAAAAAAAAGATTTACTGTAGAGCTCAACAACGAATCCTATTCTAAGAGCCCGTTCTGTACAGAATTTGTATCATACACCTTTACACTGACAAAGAAGGAAAAAAACCCACCAGGTAACTGACAAATCATCACACTAGGATTAGAGTGTCTTTTCCAGTTACATTATGGTTACGAGGAGAACAGAATAGCATGAAAACACAAAAAGTTAATTCAGTCATAGGATGGAAAAAAGAGGGCGTGATAGTGGATACTTCCACTGTTTTTTAGGATTTTATTTATGTTTCACTTACAGTGTATGAAGAATACAGTGTATGTATGATTCCACAGCTATCAGTAACTGCAGGAATGCCACTCTTTCCCAGAAAATTTCATCATAACTGAAAAGACATGAGGTTACTTTTGTTCGTAAGCTGGCCCTACAGTCTCTCATTTCTTCACAAAATAATGGAGAAAACAAAGCAACAAATTAAAACTTTCTAGTTAAGTTTCCACTTTAAAAACATTTTTTTTCCCCTTAAGTATCAGTCCATTACAGTTCTGAAACCATAAAAACTCCTTTAGAAAAAAAAAAATGTTAAGAAAGTCTTGTGAAAGGATTTTTTTTTTTTTTTTTTTTTTTTTTGCCAAATTCTGTCTGAGAATGATTTCAGCAGGGATTTACTTAATTTTATGTCATTTTCTCAACTACTTAAGCTTATATACTTCATCAGAATGCCCAAGAGTTTTAAAGCAATTAAAGATACAAGCTAGCAGTCAACTTGTTTCAGCTTTTCTGTAAGTCTTTCATGTCCAGACAAGCACTAAAAAAACCCCAGCTCAAGTGAAAGGGCATCACTAAGCAACACGAGGTGTTAGTCACATTGCTCTCCACAAGCACTTCCAAGTCAAGCCACAGGCAAGTGTCTCAGTGTTACAACAGCACAGCTAAATTTCACAAATCTAATATGTAAAACTTCTTATAACTCACATTAAAAGAACATTTATCAGAAACAAAATCTTCTCCTCCCTTCCATGTAACAATCTCCATGCATTCAGTAACACTCAGCCCGACCACCAGCATAAAGCTGTTGGAGAAAAGCTCTCCACCAGAATGGGCTGACACCATGGGCTCCTATGCCCACTGGCTGAGAAATAAATACCTATGACTTCATTGGAAAATCACCATCTCATGTTTAACACATTCCTGTGGCTGCAGCTTCACATCTGAGCCGAGTTAAAACTTGCTGCCACACACAGAACTGTCCTGTCCTACCCCTTGCCCCACCTCCAGTCACAACCGACACAATGTGCCAGCTGAGGCACCTACACCGGTAGAAAACTATCAACTCCTTTCTACCAGGTCACGTTAAGTTCTCAAAAAACAGTCAAGTAAGTGCTCACACTCTGCTAAAGAGAGCATCCTTCCTTCCGCCACGTCCCCTCATGTCCTCATGACCACACCAACTGACTGCGCTGGCTGCCATGCTCACATGGCCCATGAGGTAGTTCTGCCGGCCCATCTGGCACAACACTCCAGCACAGCAGAAAATCAGTTTCCTGGGTGTTTAGCAAATTCACGTATTGCCAAACCTGCTGCCGGGAAGAGAGAAGGACTGCATGGGCAGCTGCACCCTTCTGAGGGCAGCCCACGATCCATCAGGCTTGCTGTAGCATGAATACTGCGTCAACTTGCATGGCTAAGATGGAAGAAAATGCTACTCAGTGCTAAAAGGAGAACTCCAGTTCAGCAATTGGCAAGTACACAGTTGAACAACAGACCTGAAACAACAAAACTATATAGCTAGGAACACCTTTCAGTGATGGTTTCAAGACAACTTACCCTACACTCTAACGCTCAGCTCATTGTCAGCTCTTCAGATTTTTATTTTTGGAAATTGCTCAAATCATAACCTTTCTGGAAGGTACTCTGCAAGTCTGTACAAAAGTAAATACAGTTCATCTACTTGTTCTTCTCCTTACACATTTTAGTTTCAGCTTGAGATTTCTGATTTGGGTAAGAAAAACAATTCCAAGTAATTCTCACATATTTGGAGGCTGGGAAAAGGGAGAACAAAAAAAAAAACTGAGTGAAACAAAGCTGTACATCACACTCCCAAGCAACAAATACTGTGGATAAGACAAAGTTCATTCAAGCGACTTTAATTAAAAGGTGATTGTTAAACCAATTTAGGCTGAGAAAACACTTTCTAAAATTCCATGTTTTAATAAGACTTTAAAAGAGCAATTTACAAAGGAAGACAGCAGAAAAAAACCCACTTCTTTTAATCTTTTAAATCCACAAAAGCCTCATTTTTGGAAGCTAAAGTAGCCCACTTACTAAGCAAAGGCTTAGTCAGCATCGAACCTGTAAGAGCGATTAAAACATTTTCACTCTTCGGAATATAGTAAAAATAATGCTTCAATTAAACTGACATTAAGCAATACATCAGCAGTGAAATGGTGGTGTGCTTCCATACACTGCATTGCTGCTTAGGAGGTACCTGGGAGACTTTGACAAGAAAGTCTAGCATCCACACAGCACAAGAAACAACTCCCTTTTTCTACAGCTGGCTTCTTCCTGAGCAGGTTACAACAGAAAAGCAGGTAACCACGTGTGAGGAGCCAGACTCCCAGCAGAGGTCTAACCTAAGAGGATTTCAGGGTCAAAATCTGAGCAGATGGAGAAAGGTTTTATCTGCACAGGGAAGAGAGGCAGAAACTCTTAGAAACAATTACAAAAGAAAAACAAGAACAGTTTCTCAGGCACTCAGACTTCAGAGTAGACATTTTTCACTTTGTTTTCATATTTGCAAGTGTCTGCACCGCAGTCAGCTGCTGAGCAGAATATATTAACGTGTGCAGAGCTCTGTGCTCTGCAGCTAGAATGCTTCCCACACCTTCCAGGCAGGAAAAATGGAGGTAGTTTACTTCAGTAAACTGTTTGCCTAATTACACATTTCAAAGGCAAGACAGCCAGGTTAAAAGCTGTAACTCAACAGTTTTTATAGAAAAGCATAATTCATCTGGGCAGGAGAAAGATGAGTAACATTCATTCTTACATAACTGTTAGCTACTTTATCTTACGAAACATCAGTCCACACAGCAAACTTTCCATAGCACCACTCAATGCATTTAAAGAGGCATTAAGCTATGCTTTCTGCTTGCTTCCTGCTGTCTCTACGAAGTTGCAAGCTTTCTAGGACTGTCAAAAGCCAGTTAAAAAACAACACAGATAACATGGAAATGCTATCTCACCAACAAGGGAAACTACATGTGGGAAACATAATCTTAAAGAGTGGAAAAGATGAGACATTTCTTGTAGCCTCTCATTTTGCAATGCTATTTGCATAATCAAATAAGGTGTTTAAAAATAGCATAAAAGCAGCTATGATTCTGTCCACAATATTCTCCTCCATCGTCTTTTCAGCCAACCAGTAACAACAGGAAAATGCATCATAAGGCTTGTATGAGATTACAAAATGGTATTACTAGGATATGTATGAGTGCAGTTCACTGCAGTTGTTAAAGAAGTCTTTCATGACCTTGCAGAAATTCATTAGTTTTGTATAAACAAGTGCTTCTATTCTGACATTTACATCGCTAATGTGATTGTTGTTAATGCTAACACTCAGAGACATGGATTTTTGTTCAATTTGTGGAAAAATAAACATCTTATGTGGTTGGTTCACTATTCTAATTACAGAAACTTCACAGTTTACTCAGAGTAGATATGATAAGACATACATTCAGTCAAAAATATCAAAATATAACAGCATAGTAATGCATGTAGTATGTCCACAGCCAGCAGTAAATAAGGAAAAAACAGTATGGTGCTGTAGCACTCATATGTTACTCCAAATCTTCTGTACAAATGGTAACCTTCACCTCCATAACCTCTCTGGGAAAACTTACAATTTAAGCATTCTATATGAAGGTTATGATTTCTTCTAATAAACTCAGTAAGACCACTAATTTATTCACTTTTATTCAGTTGTACAACCAGTTTGTACTACGGTTTTCAAAACTGAAATGCACTGTACAAGACTTAAAACCTGGTGCTGTGATGATCCCCATTGCAGCAGCTGCTGCAGTAAGATAAGATGTAAAAATATGAGAAAGTAAAAAAGAAAGAAACCAACTTTTATTCACACCAGAAACACAAATTTCAATGGAATTTTCCTTTATCAAAATAACCCCAATATGGCTACTTACATCTTTGTTGTAAGAGAACTGTACAATTTATATATAAATATGTATATATAAAATCAACTTTAGTGCTCCCTCAATGTTAATCATCATCATCTTCCTCTTCATCACTGATGACATACTTCTTATGCTTCTTACTTGCTTTGTCATCATCCTCTGCTTTTCTCTTTCCAGAAGGCTCCCCTTCCTTAAGGCAAGAAAGAACAAAAATTTAAAAAATATTCAAGCTAAAATAAAAAACAGCCTCAGAACAACAACAAAAAGGATTTTTTTGAAGGAAAAGCAAAATTATTTGTTCTAGTCTTTCCACCTCATGCCTCTGTAGTGCTGCACTTCATTGGTCAGCATTGGTTCCAGTCTCAGACCCCAAACCAAGAGGGTCCACAATACAGCTGCACCTCCATTTACCTCAGTGGGAATGCATCAACACCTGCTTCAAAATTAACTACTGTGTAAGAGTAATTTATCTCCCAGTCTGGGTTTATGGAGTGTGTAACATCACTATCAGCAGTTATAAATTAAGGAGATAAGCTTAACATTTCCCTCAGATTCCTAACAGTGGGGTTCTACATGGGGTTCATATGCTCTTCGAAAGGAAGTGCTATTTATACAGTGACAAAAGCCTGCAACTCTTATGGTATGGATAATTCCTAGAATTCTTGGGAAATTTTCAACACGGAGAAGCTTTCTGTTCAGACAATCTGGACAGCTTTGCTCAGTTGTCAGACTACTGATACTTGCAAACCTTAAGCTAGAGCTACTGAGGGAAAAACAACACCAAAAAACATGAATTGGCAGGTGTTTTTGTCTACCACATTCTGGCAGAAAGGAAAAAAGACTGATAAGGAACCACCAGCACTAAGAAACAATCCCACAGCTTACAGTCCTAGAAATACAGCATAGGAGGCTTCAAAGGGCTGGTCATGGGAACTCCAATCGGTGCAACTTCAGTTACTGGGAGGAATTCACAAAGAACTTGACACGATCACCTGAGATAAATTACAGCCTGTTTTGTTGGGTTTTGTGCTGTTAAAGCACCTCACGCCATTCAATTCAAATGCTAAAATATAGACTCTAATGCATGAAGCAAACCAAAATCTTGTGTTTTCCTACAGATCATAGAATCATAGAATGGCCTGGGTTGAAAAGGACCTTAAGGATCATCTAGTTTCACCCCCTTGCTGTGGGCAGGGTTGCTAACTGCTAGACCAGATAAAATAGAATACCTGTCAATCTCTTTTATTACATCTTAAAACTCGAAGAAAAATGTCTAACTTGGTGACACAGGTCTTGTCTTTGTTGTAAAAACGACCCTAATAGCAAAAACAGGTGAGTGATTCACAATGCAGAGATCTATTAGAAATACTGAAATTATGTAGAAAACTATTTGGGAACTACAGAACAGGCAAAAAAACAGATTCTGATTAACCAAGTGGCCTACAGCACAGGCCCAAGTTGCTTCAGGTTACCTTATTAATATGTAGAGTTCAACTTCTTTTTTTTCCTGTCACACTATTTCTAGATAATCTCCTGTTTGTAACAACACTGCAATGACTTTTTGCAGGCTGGATGGCCAATTCCTAGCACTTAAATACAGAGCCAACAGTTTGATTGTTAGTCTAAACACATTTACACCAGTTCAGTTTAAATCAGCCTTCTAGGCACCACTTCAATCCAAAGTGTTCCGAAGATACTTGGTCACACTACAGATCATTAATTGCTAATGCAAAGCTCATCAATTTGGACACAAAGGATGAGTGGCAACTCAATTACAGTTTAAAAAGAAGAGTAACTTTGCTAACACCCTCAGGCTTAAGTAACCTAATCTCCTCTTCCATTAGTTAATTTTGTTTATTAAGAGCAATGCACACATTAATTGAATTTTAAGAAGCAGCAAGAGACAACACAGCCTTTCTAATTACTTATTATTCAAAACATTTTGTTTTATATTAATGTTGAATTAGAATGGTGAGAATCTGAACTAGGAAGGAAATTTAAGCATAGAAAACAACTTAGTATGGGTGGGAATCTCAATCACAGCTACTTCCTCAGAACATTTATTCTCTTATAATTTAGCTGGGCTACTGTTAAGGACTCTCCTTCCTATGTGCAGAATATCCTCATTAATTACAGTAGCTTGCCACATGGTGATAAAGGTATCAATAACAGACTGACGTTTTCAGCATTGCCAACCCACTGCTAGCAGGACAAAGATCTGGGCTGTGCCGTTGACTGACAGCACACAAAAGCAAGTCCAGTGCTTCGCACATACAGATACTGTGCTTTCGGTGAGCATGCAGGAAGTAAGTTGTGCACTACTGGCTGGGTTCCATAAAGTAGAGCTGCAGCACCCCTCTGTGGTTCTGACAGGAATACTGCCTTTACAGCGGGCAACTGTAAAATGGAGGCTACCATTCTCAACCAGCAGAAGAGAAACACAGTTAACAAAGCCTTTCTTCTGAGAGACTAGAATTGCAAAATCCCAACGTTGCTATACTGCAAACTAACAGCTAGCAGTGTCTTGTCCATAGCACCAACAGAGCTCTCAAAATCACAGTTTGGTCTAGCATGCTACACGTCACTAAAGGAAAGCGACTGAAAAATCTAGGACAAGAGCTGAGATAATTTCAACAGTTAAAAGTAATCTCTTAAGGGAAATGGTGATATAAAACCAAAGTTGAACAAAGCATTGAAAAGCATTCCACGAATTATTACTGACCTACCCAAACTTCTGTTTTTAAACTTCTGTACGTTATTCCATACATAAACATTTAAATAAAACATAATTTACAGTGAAACAGGACTGGAAGATGAATCAGACCTGCATGCCAGCACAAAAACACCTCTTGTAACCTACAAGGTAGTAGGCAGTAAGAATCTAAGCTTAGGAGACAACACTGCAGTAGGGACCTGGTATTATTTTTCCTCTCTATGTGATCTTTTGAAGTCACTTTACTCTGCACAGCACCTGCTCTTCTGTGCAATCACCAGTAACAGTAAGGATCTCCTTTAGGTATCACTCAAATCTGTGAACTAATGCAGTAAATAAGAAATAGGCACGATTAATTAATCAGCATGCCAACACAAATGTTATGCTAATTACAGCAAAACAGAAACTACAAAAACATCAGCTTTACAAACTGTATTAAGTGCACGTTCCTGGCTGAAAATGAGTAGCTATTAAAGAACAAAGTCATCTTTTACCTCATCACTAGTAAGTTTCTTCGCCTTGAGTAGTCTTTGTGTTTTATCTTCATCTGAGCCTTCATCACTGTCTGAAGAGTAGATTCTAGCTCGTTCCTCTGCAGAGAAAAATGAAAAGATAAATATTTATCTGAAATTGCTGAGGAAAAGACAGTATGAAAAATACTCCTTGTACATTTAGTCCCACAATAATCAGACAGAATCTAATCTAAATATTATTAAATGAAATAAACTTGCACGAACTGAACTCTCATCTCCTCATGTATCAAATTAAGTGGCAAAATATGATCTTATCAGGATTCTCCCGTGATACAAATCCACCTGAATTACAAAGGCCCTACCTTAACTACTGGTAAGGTTTATTATTACCTCTGATGCCACCTTTGTATCTGTTTTTGATAGCTGCTAGACTGATCGCATCATCTCCCTCATCCTCTTCTTCATAGCGATCGGGTTCTAAGTAATTTGCACTCAGACCACGCTGATGCTGCTTCTCCCTCATTCTTCGCTGCTGAGATTCTCTGCGAATGGAAGCTCTTAATCTCTCCTCTTCTTTCTGTCCAAAGCAAGCAGCAAAGGATGAGTCAAACATAATAAAAATCTCAGTACTCTGCTGTAGCTTTTGAAATCCTCTCACAGCAGTGGAAAGAGTGCGTATAATTCTGTTTTTTTTGTGGTAATCTGTAAGATTAAGCAATTTCTAACAAAAAAGCTGCATGTACAAGCAGCACACACAGCTAACAATTACTGCTTGTTACTCCAAAATACACTGTTTTCCAAAAATACATCAAACGTTTAGAAATGTTCAACTACATTTTTTCTCTTTTTTTAATGACTTTAGATTAAATCAGCAGATAAGAAAGTTCCACATCAGAATACCTTAATCATTTCTGTGCGCTGAGACTCTGGATCACGACCTGCCATTGGCAAGATACGAATTTTCTGGGTCTTTGAACACCTATCTGCCAGAGACAGAGTCATCTTCCTGTGCGTGGCACTGTCTGTAGAATGTGGCCTGTTGGAGAATTGCTTTGGGTTAAATACTTACAAGAAGAATTTACCCGTCTTCAAGTGCCAATCACACAGCAAGTATACTTAAAACTTGAAAGATTAATCTACACAAAAGTAAAAGCATTACTACTACTGTGCACTGTCACAGCTACTGGAGACATCGCTTTCTCTCTCAGCACCCTGTCTGCAGTCCATTATCAGCCTAAAAAGTCATTCTCACATTTCACTTCAATATCCCAAGTCATAATCATCACCCTGATAGCCACCATTCTGATTCAGATGGAGACTCGCCCTTCACAATACAAACTAAAATACATTTAAAAAAGTAAATGAATACAAGTAGCCTTGATACTGCAGTGAATAACAAACACATCAGCCTTTCAAACTGGGACATCCAGCTTAGGAAAAATTTTTCCCAAACCCTCCAAAAATAGCACATTCTTAGCAAACTGTTGAGCTCTGAAGGCTTACTAATCGCTATCTCTACACACTTAGTTACAATACTTCATTGCACCACTTGATAGTGAACATCACGTTTACCTGAAGGTTAACTTGGTCTTGAAAACAGCCTGTCCTTGCAGACCGGTCCCTTGTCTGATAAACAGATGGTTGTGATCTCCCTGCAGCGGTGCCTTGTACACATCAAAGACCTCATTTCCCAAGTGGAGAGACATGCTTAAAGGAGATTAATGTATCAGTTACTTGATAAAGCCACTACAGTCCATTTTTTGTCCATGTGTAAACAGCAAAAGCCTTTGCGTTTCCCTTTAGTAAATAGCCAATAACTATATTTCACCGCAAACAAAGCAGGGCAGAAGATTTTCAGCGCACTGAGACTACACTGATTTTTGTTGCACAGAACGGTCCATCAGTTTTGCATGCTACAGGATTCCACTGTGAAAACAGGATGCAAAAAGTGCAAACCAACCTTCCATCCGACCACTTGACGATGCGGGCATTGCTTTCTCTGATCTCATTCCCTTCCTCATCTCGCCGCATCCGCCACCGTATTGTGTTTTCTACCTGTCAGAACAGCACAGCTGTTAAACTCACAATGGAATGCTGTGGTGAAATACACCCAATGCTGGTCAAGAATTACAGCTAGAAGGGTTATATAATCTGCTGTGCGATACAAAGAGATGAAGGTGAAAGGAGTGGCTCTCACAGGAGAAAGGCAGTTGTTAAGTTTTTTTAACATTTGTTCTTTTTTTAGCATTACTAAAACTCAGCAATATTCCTCAGCAATGAAGCCATCCGTACCTTTGGAACTTAAATCACAACTCATAACACCATTGCAAAACACCTGAAATAGACTTTGATGAAATGTGGTTAGGTGAGCATGGAGGATATATAGACTTAGATATAGACTTATACCTTAAGTTTTAATCTCGTTCTCCCTTCTTCATCAAGCATCTCCTCATCTTCAAACTCATCCTCATAATATTGGGGATCAAATGGTCTGTAATAAATTATACAATACAGTATTCATTCTTCCAGAAGTTAATCCAGATTAGTCTTGTGCACAGTAACAGGTGCTTGAAAGGTTTAAATTATACGCTGCACACAACAGGAGGCACTGCAGCTGTGAGACAGCCATTTCTGCAGAAATGTAATTTACAGCATTGATTCTGCACTGCAGGAGGCCAACCCAAGCATCTTCACCACCATCAATTACTGCCACTTTAACATCCACACCCTCTCAATGGCTCCAGCTAAAGAAAGCAAGTCTGCTTCAGAACAAAATGTCTCCTCAGTATCAGGATAAAGAGGTCAGGGTTAAGGCTGGAAATAAATGCAGGTAATTTTATTAAGAGGCCCACTCATTAGCCTACACCCTACTGACCTATCCTCACTAAAGTGTGAGCCTTAATGTTAACCATTTTAAATACAACCAACATAATTAATTGTACTACTAAAACAAAAGCAAAATATTGAAACTAAAAAACTCAACAACTTATCTGCATATTTGATATAGAATTACCTGGGCTCCACACTGAGAAAGTTGGGCAGCTTCACGAAATACAAATCATTACCCAAATCTGTGTTTACTTTTGGTATTTCTACCTCTATTCTTGTCTCTGGAATAGGCTCTTCCTCCTGCTGTTCTTGGCTCAGCCCATTCTCATCCTAATGGCAAAGAAGCACAATAGGAGCAAAAATATCAGTCTGACTGTTCCTGGAATAAGTGCTTCCATTCTGACTGAGAAAAATTCCGCTGGTATGTAGAGAAAGATCAAGAAGCTTCTCATAAATGCACTTGAACCTTTCCAGTAAAACCAATCCATTTTAAAACCAAAAGCCATTTCAAATACCAGTGGGAATTCGAGAAAACAAAGACAGAAAGGAAATAGCAAGAGAGCTGACACACAGTTTTCAGCAAGGAATGAGAAAATAAGCATGGGATAAGATTAAATTCTTTAGTATCTTCAAGGCTCAAAATGAAAATATTTGTCAAACAGCTGTAAGTAGAGTACCAAGAAGACCTGCAAATTTGTATTTCTCTTGATGACAATCAAAATGTAATCAGTGTATTCCTTTTTCCAAATGGAAGAAGTGGAGCAGGGCTGGGGGAGGGCATGTCGACATATCTAATACTGCTGCGCCTAAAGCTCCAATCATTATTTTAGCTGGGGCAAAACGATCTGTAGATTCTTATTTAACGCTGTTAAAACTTTCTCCGTTAAAATATTATCTAACCCCACTGACGTTCCAGATCTCAAAGTGGAATAGTGGTTTCATTACTTCAAAAAGTCTACTCACAATGGGCTGTCCTGGAGTTGGTGGCTTGTCTTCCCCGTCGCTTCCTGAAGAAATGTCATCTGCTCCTCCAAACAGGTCCATGACATCTGCGTGTTCTGGAGGAGAAAAATTACTGCTATGAAATACACATATATGCAAACATACATGCCCCTTCATCAAACAAAACACAGAAAAAATAATCCTTCACTTTTATCACCACTTAAAATCACCTACAAAGTTTAAGAATCTCTAATTGTTATGAAGCACAGATTATTCTCTTATTCCGTAAAAAATAAAAGATCCCCCTTGTTTTGAAGCTGGAGAGTCAGTGCTTCCCTGGAAAGGCTCTATTATGGAGAATCCAGGTGAAAAGTGGCAACAGACAAATCAAGAGTTAAAGTTCATCTTTTACTCAAGTAAACAGTTTAAATATACATGACAAGCAACCTCACTGCAAACTTTGGAAGTTTTACTTCTCATTAAAAGCAACATCTTCTCTTGATCAGCAAAATATCAGTGTTTCTCAGGCTCCTGTGATAAGATGCACCATGAGCTTTGACAATGGGGTGTGAACCAACACTCACAAGAGAAAAGCTCTGTCTCTCGTGGAGAAAACTGAGAGATGACAAAACTAAAGTGAAATCACCAGGAAAAATACGGTGTGTGCTTCCTCACACAGCACCTTTTCTGTGCCGCTCTGCCGCGCCCATGGCACTGCAGCTACATCACAGTGTGAGTGCTATTGACTGTACCAAGTAGCACAGCAGATAAATCATGGATTAAAAGACAAATGAACCAAAAGCCAAGAAACCAATCCCACCTTTACCTTTCTGGCCTTCTGTATCACTGTCCACCTCTGAATCTGATGCAATTGGTTTCTTTCGCTTCATTCGCAAGACTTCATCTTCACTATCGCTGCCTCTCGCAGACTCTCCTAAGAAGCATAATTATTCTCAGCAGACTAAGAATTCTGTTTTACACATTTTTAACATTCCTTTTATTAATCAAGTTGTTTCAGATTAGAAGTAATTTAAACACACTGTGTAAAAAAAAAACACAAAAACACAGTATTAAAAAGATGCCCACGTTTGAAAGTTATGTGATTAACATTTAAGACAGAACTTTTCAAGCCAATGTAAATGAAACAATGGAGAACAAACCAGGCTGTAAGAAGCAAACCATTACAACTGGATCCTACCAGATTTATGCTCCTGCTCCTCCTCATCGGAATGCTGGGCCCTTTCGTCATCATCAGAGTTCTGCATCTTCTCCTCATCGGAGTGCTGGGCTCTTTCATCATCGTCTGAGTTTTGCATCTTCTCCTCGTCTGACACCTGCGGCCTCTCCTCGTCATCAGAGTTCTGCATCTTCTCCTCGTCCGAATTCTGGAGCCTCTCCTCATCATCAGACATCTGAGGCCTCTCATCTTCATCAGAGTTCTGTGCTTTCTCCTCATCGTCTGAGTTCTGCTGTCTCTCCTCATCATCAGAGTTCTGCTGTCGCTCCTCATCGTCTGACTGATCGCTTTTGTCCTCCTTGCCCCACTTCTCATCCTCCGAATGGGCCTTTTCTGAACCATCTCCCTCAGAATGGTGACTGCCCTCATCAGAGCCGTGTCCCCGCTCGTCCTCCTCATCATCATGAGCAGCTTCTGAAGCGCTGTGCTGGTCCACATCCGACTGATCGTTGTCTTCATGCTCAGAGTGCCCCGAAGCTTCGGAGCGATTGTACGACCTCTCGGAGTGGTTGTCGCTGCCCGTGTGATGGGAGGCTCCTTCGTCCTCACTGTCGTCTCCGAACAGCTCCTTGTTGCTGGGCTTTGCTGCCTCCCGCTCATCATCCTGCTCGCTGTCACTGCCCGAGGCGTTGCTGCCGGAGCCCACGTTCTCCTGGTCGGAGTCGGAATCCGAGCCAGAATCAGTATCTGCAAAACAAACACCGCCTCTCAAAGTTAAGCCATCCCTACGAGGGGTCAAACAGGACACAGGTACGCGTTACCCAACAGCAGAACTACGCGAGGCACAGAAGTTACCTACAATAAAACATCTACCGACGACGATACAAAGAACGACCACAGGTACCACTCAATATGCCCGCTATTACCTAAGGTTCTAAAGCTCTGGGAGGAATAAGCCGTTACACAAAGCAAAGAACTCGGAGGCAGTGCCCGGTGCCAGGCGCTGCGTCGCTGTTCCTTAAGACGCCTGTAACCACTTTTCACTTGTGAAGAGCATGGAGCCAGCGGGCTGCACACCCCCCACCCCCACCCCCGGGCAGTAACCCGACCGAAGCCCGGCGTTCCGCCCTGCTTTGCGGGGGGGCCCGCGGGCGGGAGGCCCGGTACACGGCATCTAACGGCCGCACCTTTCTGCTCGGCCTCCGAGTCGGCGTCGCTGCCGAACAGCTCCTCCATGTCGGCCATGGCGGCTGCACGCGCCGGCGCCGCGCAGTGACGCGATACGGAGCGCCGGGGGCTGCATCCGGGAGGGGGAGGAGGAGAGGCAGGAAGGGCTCCTCTGAGCTCCCGCCGCCCTCTTCCGCCTCCTCAGCGCCGCCCTCAGCTGCAGCGCGGAGCGAGGGGTGCGCGCGCATTGTGTGGCGCGCTGCCATCTTGCGAGGCGGGAGCTCGCAGCTAAGGGAGAGCTACACCTGCACACCACGACCCTCCCCCCAAAAAGCGCATTTTAATAGTTTTCGTACAACACTTGTATGAAATATTGGATCTAAGGCCTGAGCAGCAGAGTTAGCTGGGAATACAGAAGTAAATCAGCACAGCGGTGTTAGTACGTTCAGCAGCAACACCGCACAAAGTCAGTACGGGGATGCACCAGCTCCCTTTGTCAGCTGCCTGGCCGCCTCGTGTCACATCAACTGCACGGCGCAGCTCGGCATCACCTGCAGATTTGCTGAGGGTGAACTCAATGCCATCGTCTGTGTTACTGAGAAAGATGTTGAAGAGTGCTGGTCCCAGGACAGACGCCTGGGGGGCACTGCTCCTCACCAGCCTCCACCTGGACTCGGAGCTGCTGACCACAACTCTCTGCCAGCAACCATCCAGACGATTCTTTATCCACCAACTAGTCCAGCTTTCAAGTCCATGTTTGTCCAATCTAGAAATAAAAGCATGGCACAGGACCACGTCAAAGCCCTTGCACAAGTCCACATAGATGATAGCAGTCACCTTCCCTATGTCCACCAATGCTGTCACTCCATCCTAGAAGCCTGTCGGATTGGTCAGGCACAATCTGCCCTTGGTAGAGCTGTGCTCTCAGATCGTTTCACCTTGTGCATGCCTTAATATCTTTTTCAGGCAGATCTGCTCCATCATCTTCCCAGGAATAGACATCAGGCTCACCAACCTGTAGTTCCCCAGGTCCTCCTTTCTTAAAAGGATGTTTCCCTTTTTCCATTCATCCCCATCATCAGGGACTTTGCCTGACAGACACGACTTTTCAAATAGGACGGAGAGTGGCTTAGCACCCACATCAGGTTATTCCTTCAAACCCTGGGATGCATGCCACTGGGCCCTCTAGACTTACACACATTCAGTCTCATGAAGCAGTCTGGAACTTGCTCTGCTCTTAGAGGGGTGGGATTTCACTCCCCCATCTCCTGCCTAGAGGTTCAGGGATACAAGAGGGATGGAAGCCTGACTGGCAGTGAAGATCATGAAGGTGTAGAGATGATGAGCATCTCTGGCATCTTCTGTCAAACAAGGCCAGCTACAGATATGTGAACCACATAGCAAAGCTCATGTAGAGAACAAGCAGAGATGCACAGACAGCTTAGTAGTGTACTATTATGTGCTATTTAAAAACAAGCAAAATTATACAATAGTTAATCATTCAAAAATTTTACTGCTTTACAGTCTGACAGCATATAGTGCTGATAAGCTAAAACACTCAATTCATATTTCCTCAATGGAAATTTAAATTGAATACATGCTCATTTATAGCCTACAAGCTGTAGAGATAATGAGGCTATTTTTAAAAAATACAACAGTATATAGATAATTGTTTTGGAATATAGTCTACATTTCCATGCTTATATTGGAGCCAATAGAATAAAAAATGTGTGGTTATTTGGCTTCTGCATTAAATGTGGAAAAGAACGTAGAAGAACAGTACCACCTCTTTTGGAAAAAGACCTTGCATTTATGGTAGCTAGTTATCAAAATAATACCACTTTCATGCTCAAAGTCATATACTACACTTGAAACCATTAAATCCCAACATCCAACTCCACTAAAGACTGTTTATGATTCTTAGCTACAGACTGAATTCTTTAATTTATTCCAAAATGGTTACATATACTGTAGGTACAAAAGTGTTGTAACTGTCTTAACTGTTCCATGGTCCATGCCAAACATCTTTCAACAGTTGAGGGGAAGTTTTCTATGCTCACTGTCAGATACCTACCCTGAGAGGGCCAACAAACATTCTTAGCAGTCAACCAGTTAAGAAAGGTCCTCTACTATTGCCTATGACAGGACACCTAAGAGTTACAATTTAGAAACCTCTACCTTTGATTGGAATATTAACCATGAAGCAGCTAAACTTGATTCTATAAAGTAATAAAGAGGAGATTTCAGCTATAATTTCCATAATCCAGCCATTCATTTTTCTCCTTCATCTTCAAGTAGGACATAAGTGCATAGTCCTGTTTGACAGTACAAAATAAATTGTCACAGAATCACAACACGTGAACAGATTTCATGAACATGCAGCCCTTCAAGAAAAGAAGGAAAACATTACAGACTATTTTTTGACACAAAATTATTATGGTGCTTGGCAAATGAGAAGTTTTAGGCAACTGAGCACATTACAGGCTTTGACCATGTTTATACATCGCTCCTATCTGTGAAAAAAAACAAAACTAAAACCACATAACTTGTGAGTTTATCCATACTATGTAAGCACTTCAAATTTAACATCAGGGAAGCTCCTGACAATTCATAAAAGCCAAAACCAAAAGTAGCCTTTTTTTATTGCTAGTCAGATTACTGCTGGTTGCTTCAAACTTACACTCTGTAAAGTCTTTGGTTTTAATAGAATTGATTCCAACAGCTTTTCAGAGCACACATTTATTTGTAATTAGTCAATAAAAGGCCAATTTTGAAACAGGAAAAATATGTTCTTCCATAGTTATAAACCAGTTAAATATATCTTCATTGAAGGCACCATAGTTTTGAATGTGCTGTACAGATGCAGTAAAATTAGAAGCCACCTGCAGAATAAAGTCTGTCTGAAATCCAAGACATCATTTGCAGGAAATTATAACACAGGCACAGTGTCAGAGGATTGCTCTATTAATTTTTATAGTACTTACAACATGATGCAAAAAAAGTTTCAGTCCTATACATTTCCTCTATTTAAAAAGCTCACCATATGATGATCTTCTGATGAAAATGGTTGTCAGTTGAGCTCTCATAAATATATTTGAGCTGTCCTTCAGAGTATTTTGTTAATTTATGGTCTCATGACAACATTAAGCAAGCTCGGTATGGTACAGTCCAAACAGGCCCACAGCAGAGAGCCCCTAGATTTTCATTATTTCCAAGATGTATACTTTGATTATGTACAGAAATTTAAGTGATTCTTGTGTCCTTATTAGTTGGCATAGATACACAGCTTGGAATAAGTACTGTACTATGCAAATTTGACACTACACATTAGTTAATTTCTGGAAGTCGTAGTGTTTCAAACATCAAGCCTTTTGAGAAAGTGTTACTTCATTGTTTCATGAAAACTTATACATTTATATGAAGCACTAACAATTTAATTCAATAGCTTGTAAAAAAGGATTTTCTGTTTGCCAGAAACTTAGGACACTGATTTGTATAATTAAGGTTGTTTCTCCTGAACAAAATTCGGCAAATTTAAAAAAGCTTGTCCACTACTTCTAGAGAAATTCATACTAGTTATGCATGTAGATAAGAACTTTTAAACAAAAGCTATAAACTAAATGCTGATGAGCACATAATAGTCTTGAAGTGTCCAGTTTAGACACAGAGCAAGTTATAATTCTGGGACATTTTAAAAGACTTTTAGGACTTAAGCATAGTAAGAAAAAACCCACTTTGCATGGCTTTTACTTTTTCTTTTTTTTGCAAGGCTCCCACTTTTTTTTTTTTTTCCATTAGTCCCTCAGATCTCTTGGAAGAAAAGTCAATTTATTTTTGCCTGTTTTTAAGGGATGCTTACACTTAATCACAGTATCAAGAACAAATCAAAACAAAACAAAAAAAAATACAGTAAGACAATTGTGAAAGATTTCCCTTCAGTGCATATGAACAAGGATGAACAGCTCTAAACAATGAGTCCAACTATTGTGTGAAGAATCCATCACTAAAGCATTGTTCTGAAGAACATACATACCCCTTCATGTAAATGAGCACCCCTAGATTTTCTAACATTTCAGTTGGGTCATTATATGCCCAGTGATCCTGCATGTCCCATTCTTTGACTACAGACAATTATACCATTGATTCGCGATTACATTTTTAGTAGAAAGCACAGCCAAGATCTTAAAATACAAAAAAGTTCTTTAAAAAAAACAAACAAAAACAATCAAAAACTGGATCTGTACATGGATTGGTGTGGTTATGAAAAATGTGACGCATACCAGCAGATTATTAATATAGCTTTGCTTTAAAAGGAATGGGGTTTCCAGTCTTTTCCCTTCTAACCCAGGTAAATGCAGTCCAAGATTGCCAAAGCCCACCGTGAGGAGCGTGCTTTGAAGACCCTTGAAATCTTCACACAGTTCTAGCAAGATCTACTGGCTGTCTCCTTCAACCCTTCTCTTGCGAACTGTAACAAAATAGAAGATGTATTTTAAAATATTATTGTTACTGTACTACATATTTCTGCACCACTGGTATGCAGTATGGCTCCCTACTTTGCTGTACAAAGGCTCATGCAGTAATCTAAAGTAATCAACATTTAATATTAGCCACCATTACACAAGAACAGATTCAAATATTTCCTATGAAAATTATATAGGAAACAATCTTTTTACTTTAAGTAAGCAGATTTAACAAGATAGTCTTTGTTTTTATTGCCACAGTTTGCTTGGCTTTGAAAGAAACAATGTAAAACTTTCAAGAATACCCAATAAGATTTACACACATTCAAATTTGTACACACTCAAACAAAACTAAATTAAAAAACCCTTCGAGATGTTATGCTCAATAGCCTACAGCATTCCATTCATTAATAAAAATATTCAGTGGCCGCAAAATGCAAAAGCAACAAAGATCCATGAATAAAACCACCAACGCTCACATGCTGCTCTGGCTTTACGCAGGATTCACTGAATGCCTTCAAATTCTCCAGTCATGCAATTAAAGGCAATATTCACGTGGTTTCAGACAAAGAAGGAAGGGGAAGTAGGACAGCACAGTGTTGACAAAGGAGAAAGGTGCAGACTTATTTTCAATATAAAGAAGTCACATACAAAGACAACTGAAAGGCTGAGCATCTCGGTTTTCAGTGCTTGACACCCAAGTGGGCATTTAGAGTAACCTGCCTCTGTAGCTTCATGGCTGGAGAGGTGAAAAGGTATTTGCAGAAATTTTTACTCGGATACTCCAGACTAAGAAAGCAAGGAAAAACAGGCAAGATATCAATAGAAACATAGATTTCCAGCAGTTAAACACTAAAATGAGAACTAGCCGAAAGAGAAGCCTTAAAGGACAGAGACATACGGAGTGACAAGAAAAAAAATTGGTTTGGAATTAATTTTGAGAAACATTTATGTGTGTTTAAATGCCTTTCTTCTGTCCCTATTCTACCTGTTGCTCTTCCTCTCTTTCTTTCAGAGATGTTAGCCTCCACTTTTAACTTTACTACAAGGGAAGCAGATCAAGAAACCAAACTCTGGCTTCCTAGAAGCGTTCCCTGTTATTAGATCTCTTCCTGAATTCCTACTACTGCTACTGAACAGCCTGGCTCATTTTCACACCAAAGGGCTGTGTAATCCTTACTGCATCACAAAGCATCCAACCCAGCAAAGTTTAATGAAACGGAATTTTAAAATGCAATTCTATTTGAACATATTGACCTCCTTTTAACTTGTCATAGCTGAAACCTCCCCATATTTGACACTCTTAATAAGAGATTTCCATTCACATGCTATACTATCAACCAATTTTCTGTTGTTTTGTTGAGTTAGAGTTCTAATGTGAGCTCCAAACAACAAAACTAAATGCAGCAAATAAAGACACCACTGCTACTATCTACATTTAAGAGAGGCAGGGAAGGCACCAGGGCATTAATGGAGCTGTAAGGGAAGAGGTGACTATGCCAACTTCTGACAGGGCGTTCAACCCTCCCTGCTCAAGCATTCCAAATGACACTGGGTATACTAGCACGGAGGAGGGCATCTCACACTAATAAATTCAAATACAGTCTTTAAAAAGGCCATTAGTCTTACCTGAATAAAACCACATAATCAAAGCTATTATTTTTCTTCCCTTGCCGCAACACATCTGGAATATGAACGTTCTTCCTGTTTCTGGACTATGCTAAAAATCCTGAACTCATGCATCTGGACATCTTGCAACAACATAAACAGGGAACAGCAAGTAGCAACAGAAGAATAAGAGGAAAAGCACAGGAGAAACCTGAAACTGATTGACAATTTTTTTCCCATCCTGGTTATATCAAAGGAAAACCTGGAAAAACAAACAACTTTAAATGAATGTGTGCAGCACAAGTTTTAAGAGTTACTCTCGACTGACAGGTCTTACCCAAGTCATTGTTTTTTGTGATAGCAGCAGCTGCCCTGGCTCGAGGTCCCTGTTGTGTGAAATGGTATCCAAATTTAAGGATCTTGGTGTTTTCTTCAAGCATCTTGGCAATTTCTACTTCTGCAAGAGTACCCAGCTGCTGCCTCTATTTAAATGAAAAATACACAAAGACAGCAGAGCTTAGGTGTAGTCATAAAAGAGAGATCAGGATACCTTCATCATATTAGTCAATAAATACCTTTTTTCTTTTAATTAATCTAAAAGGCATAAACTCATTATCATATCTTTGTGCATTTTAAAGCACAAAGAAGCACAGAAGTGCTTCTTGAAATGGATGCCTATGAAAATCTTAAACACACATAGCATAAGATATTTAAAATATTTTTAAAAGGTTTTCACAAGAAGCCTAAAAGTACTCAGTCAACAAGGACAGAGAGCATGCAAGCACTGATTTTAATTATGCTACCATAGTCTCACTTACCTGATTATCAATTTTGATCTCTGTCAGTGTTTCATTGTCTTTCAGTGCATCGACCAGTGCCAAAATTCCAACTCCGGTGATGAAGTTTGATTCTATGTTTAAACTTTTTAATTTTGTGTTTACTCTCAGCATATCTGCAAGAGCCTTTGAATGCAAGAAAGTACCATTAAACTTTTGAACTGTGCTACAGTACGTCACAGGACAGAGCAATGACCACTTCCAACTAGCTCAACAGGAGCAACGTGTTCACAGATGCATAGTGTAACTTTGCAAGTATTCACCTCTTGAGACTGAAGAGAGTCTTCAACCAGGAATCATCTACATTCTCTTTTTAATAGTACTTAATCAAGAAAAGGCCTGTCTTACCCTTGTCACAAACTAAAAAGCTACATAGAATATAAATTGTCTGAAATTAGCATATTGGACTAATTCCATTTTGTAAGCTTTCACAGCACATAATGAGTAGTGCAAGCTGTAAGAAAGGCTCAAAGAAAGGGGGTTAAGCCAACTGAAAGGAGAATTAGATATGGTTAATTTGTAAACAGGAGATCTGACTTTCAAAATGCTTGTGTCTACAGATTTGGTAGGAAGCAAGAACAAAAAACGCATAAAACAAAAAAGCACCAGACCCCAAAATCAACCCTTTACCTTCTTAATACAAATGTTTCTGTTCTGCTGAAAAGGAACGTTTTAATTCACCGAGGACAAAGCCTTCAAATGTTTATTTATTCACTTAACTGAATGCTCTAAACAATTGAAGCTAAAACAAGTGCAAAGGATTGTCCCAGTGCTATTTTCTTACTTCTTTATGTGCAAATAAATAAGGAACTACTTTTGATTCAGTACACAAAATCAGGGCCAAATGATAAAGACTTTGGTTTCAATTTCTCAGACTAAATACTTTCATTGCCAATGCATTGAGCCCATCTTTGGTTGCAAGATCAGAGAAATGGGTATTTTACAATTCTGTTCAACCAAAACTCAACTTAGTTGAAAAATGCGATGAGCACTTTCAGCCCCAAACGTATTTCCTTTGAAGTTAATTTTGAGGATACTCCTAACTCACAGCATGCACATTATTAATTAAACAACGAGGAAAGAAAGAAAAACAGGAAGGAGGTTAGCAAAATGAAATCCCCACTCATCTCATCATCTGACACATTGCTGTACAGTCATCAAGTAATTGTTCACCAACTTTGATACAGCAAAGGTTTGCCAAAGTAAACATACAACACAGGGTGAAAGAAATTAATCATTTTCATGTTAAAACTTATACATGTATGCACACACATACAGACAGGATTCTACTCTATCCCTTACTGCCATCTTTCCATCCAAACTTCCCTTGTATCCCCCAAAGCACATCTGCACAATACTTACAACAGCAACAGGATCATTACTTCGGGTGGCTGCAAGGCTAAAATTCTTCACATGTGTGTTGGTTTCTAGAGCTTTTGCAAATTCTTTCAGCGTTGGAATTGGTATGTTCTTGAAATAAAAATAGCATTTCAGTCTCTTGAGATGCATAAGTTTAACCCCCACTCTCTTTTTCTTCCATTGCCTTATTCTCTTCACAGCACAGCACACCATACTATTAACCATCGCTGATCTCCAGCAGTCTCACAGTACAGGCTTAGATGTGCAGCAGAGCCACGTGCAAGGTGCAGTAGTTCTGAGTTGGTAATTCTATAAATTAAACTCACCTTTATTTAACTAATACCAATGCCACAATAGAATGGTTAAAGATATTTAGCTGTTTTGAAAATGTTACTGAGCTTACATGAATTCAATGTTCTTCTTCCTATCACTACCATACTAATCTCTCACACACAGGAAACCACTTAGGAGCTCTAAAGCAACAGAATTCCATCCTCTTTGTTACGTTAAAAATAATCTCAGAAGTCACCAATTCACAGTTTGACGATTTTCACAAAGTAGTACCAAGCAACTCTAAAAGCAATAATTTTAGATAATTAATTACAGTCACAAGTCTCTTGGCTTATTGCAATAGCAGTTTTGTTCTGTTACCTTCTTAAATACTCTGGCCAGTACTTCATTGTTGTGCAATGTTCTTAAATAATGCGTTTCTTTTACTGCCTGCAGTAAGAACAACAAATAGTCTAGGCTGCCAGTGAGACAGTGCAGAAAGCAGTGACAGGCAGCTGGTTGCAGCAAGTCAGTTGTGTTATAGTTCTGTTTTCTTACGGGTATATATATACAAAAATGTTCAGTCACGTTGAAGGACAATTCTTAAGAGCTGATAATTGCTGACAGCCCTTCTGTACAAGAATCAGAAGAACATTAGGTACAAATACCATTTTGTTTGCAGTAGCAGTAATTGAGAGCACACTACTTCACAAAGCACAAAGGATTCAAAGCAGTTAACTCCATGATGCTGAACTGCTGGAACTGTCACCAGCTTGGCAGCGACTGAAACCTGGTTTAGTAGTAAGAAAATCTGAGACTTTTAGAGAATGTGTTTCGTAAAAGATACCAAGATGGCTTACTGCTTTATTTCAGGCCAGAAACTTGGAGCTAAAGCACACTGCAACATTTTGCAGGAAGGCTTCTCTACTTAAAATAAGGCCATTGTGCCCACTCATAGTGCTGCACAGCTTTAAGTGTCTTCTGCCAAAAAAAGGCAGCATATCTACTGCATAATTCAGATAATTACCTTGATGTTATTTAGATTAACTTCAACAAGACGGGAATCGTTATCTTTAATCCTTTGCAGAGTCTCCTCCACATTTGTGGGATTTGGTGGTTCATCAAAAACAGGTAACATTTTTTCACCTTTTACTATATCTGGAAAGTAAGGGATACAATCGTAATCCAACAGTTGCATACATTCACTGTACATGTGATAAATATACAAAATATTTGCTGTATTTAAAGATCATTTCCTCAGTCTTCACATCTCTTCCTCGCCCTAGAAGTACACCATCATCTCTGACTGTATTTTTATAAAGTTCAGCCCTCCTCCAATGTTCTCGCAGCCTTTCTCCTTTTCTTGACCATGAGCTTTTTTCCATAAAGCACAAAGGATTGAATAACAAACACACACGTTAAACCTAAAAGCACAGGCACACAAACGTATTTCTGCACCCGCTTCTATCTCTCCAAGAAGTGAATTAACTACAGAACAGTTTTAAGTGTAAATAGGTAATTCCACTCTCGCCAGAACTCAACTGGAAACATTACAAGCATGTACCTTATCAATTTACAATGGAACGTCCTATTAAAAATGCTAATAACGCGTTTATTTAGCACTTGTGTAAATACTTACTTGAAAAGCTGTCTTTGCCAACCCCGTTACTGCTTCCTACAATATCACAGAACTGATTGTTTGTTATCAGGTTGGACATTCCCAGTATAGCTGTTAAAAGGGGGAAAAAAAAGAAATAAAAAGCAAAGAACAATTTTAGTGTCCATGGCTAATTCAGCTTAGGGACAGAGCTCCTTTAAATAATAATAACTGAAGTGCATCAAACACCAGATCACCAGTACAATAACCCATTGAATCTCTTAATTTAAAGAAAAGTAGAAGAACTTTTAATGTAACAGAAAAGACTTTTTAGGTAGCTTTCATGTCTTAAAAAGTTTCAACCTCACCAGGTTCAGGCAGCATAGTTAAAAGCGCAGTTCAGCCAAACATTCTTGACTGCAGCTTTAGGAATATAAGCACATACCAACACATATGTATGGAAAAGCAGTGGTGAACACTAAACAGAAAGCAGCCAGCTTGAGGAATGAAATGAAAGGTTCCGAGTTTTAAAATGGGGAATCTTAAGCCAAAACATTCCTATATATTAGCACAGACCAACAAAGACGAAACGCTGCAAACAGACTAGCATTTAATTTTACCTACGTGGTAGTTTCTACTACACTTCAGACAACAAATACCCTCTAACATTAATTGTACATCTCTGTTTTCTAAACATGCAGCCCAGCTGTACTTTCAGAACAAAGGGACCCACAGCACTAACCTGCGAGGTCACATAGCTCTGTGTCTGTGGCACTTGTCAAGGCTTCCTCCAGTTCTGGATCAAGAGCAATTTTTTCTTCTGCATAAGACTGGGCAGGCTTCTGCTTCGGGATAAATATTTTCCCTGGAGTAAAGAAAGTGAAAGGTGTTATATTACTTTGCGTTACGTAGCTGCTTGTCTTTAAACTTCTCTGCTCGTAAGGGATGCATACAACATTTCAGAAATCCTAAGGCAGTATGGGCAACAAAGGAATGAGATCTCTTCTATTTGCTCTTGCAAGTCAGAGATGAGAAAAGGGCAAAAACAGGAACATAACATTATCCAAGATTCCAGCTTTTCAGGAGCCTGTATCAGGACTCCAATCTTACTTGTTTCTTCTGAGTATCGGGGTAAAATATAAGTCTGCATCAAGCATTTTAAACAACGCATTTTTAAATAAAGTGCCTGCAAATAAAATTCAGTATTACTGGAAAACAAGGACAGATACACTGAAATGCATGAAATGAAAAAGGGACCCAGGCAGAGCTGCAATTTGAGTATTTCTGAGAAACAAGTTCTCTCAGCATCATCTGAAATCCCAGAACTGAATATTCACTGCAGTTTTACATCACATACCGTATTTCTGGTTTCAGATGTCAACTTAAACTTGAATTTAAAAAAAATGAAACGCCTGAGATGCTTAAGAAAAGAATGGTTTGAGAACAGCAGAAAACATGATAATTTATCTCTGGCACACACTGCCAAAGACAATTTTCAAAAATGATGCTTAGAAACAAGGAAGATCACAGAAGATTCAGTGAGAAAAAGGAGCAGTGACAACTGCGTCACACCCACCTTTTAGCCACTACAGACAGGAAAAGGGAAAAGTGGTTTTAGGGTAACTACATTACAAATGGAGGTGTAAGTAGTTAGCATAATTCCTGCACACATCTTTGGTCAAAAAACTAGGGGGAAAAAAAAAAAATAAATCAGAAAACCAAGTTATTAGAATAACTATTCTATAAATGGAACTGATGCATTCAATAGGTGCCTTCCACAACTACAAAACTTTGATCTTAATAGCTATTCAAAATTTTTGCGTACTGTTAAAGACCAAGAAAAGTCAGTATATTTATCAGATGCATACTGGTCTAATAGCTTTGATCTACAACTGCATCTGATTAAAGACAAGCATGATCCACCTTGGCTGTCACCATCTGGGCATGTTCACTAGTGTTCAGCCTCCCTGCCTGGGCCACCAGAAGCCAGAGCTGAGGGTCACAGCTTCCAGCAGCACTTAACTGCTCCTGGGGGTGGAAGGTGGTGTCCATAATCCAAGATTTCTCAGTTGACTCAGGAACCCACCCTTCCATACCCACAGGAAGGCCTTTCCACGCCTCCCACGGAGCGCACCAGCTCATCCCCCACCCAGCAGCAGGCCAGCTGGGCAGGAGCCAGGAGCAGACTATTTTGCTCCTTGTACATACACAAGTGTATCTTGTTACATGTTTGGACTAAAACTAATTTTAGCGTTTCTAAATGCCTCCCAGTGACAAGATGCTGTAAAGGAATCTTCCAATTTACATTCTGGGGAAATTCTGACAAATTAGTGCTTTGGTTTCATCATTTCTGGACACAAACACTGGCACCTTATCACCCATCCACCTTTCCTCTCTCTCCACATCCCCACCCTAGATTACAATTGTTTGTGGTTCATTTTCTTTTTAAAGGAACTTCAGCATCACCACTAGCATAGAACACAATTTGAACTCTTCACAACAGTCTGATGACAAAGACTTGTTGCTAGCAACACAATATTGTTGTTCCTGGGTTGCTATCACTTTGGAAAGCTGTAAGTTTAGAAGCAAAAAATAAATCACCTTATATAACTGTTCTGACTACAAACAGGAGCTGAAAGCAGCTGACATACATTGCCACAGCTCAGTTTTGATGGAGAGTGCTAAAGGAAGCTTGTGGCAATTCAAGATAAATAGAGAACCTTCATAAATGGCAGGTGTGAGCAATAAATGCATTGGACTACTCTGATACACCTGACACAGTACATCTTCTACTCCCATTTCAGTATATCAGTATCATCTTCCAGGACAGGAATAATCTTCAACTTAAACTGGAATTTTTAAAAGAGATAAGAGAACATGTGACAAGGTTTCCACCAACCTCTGAAGCACTTTGAACAGCACGCACACAGCCTAAAGCCTTTCATCATCTGCATTTGTGTTGTTTTTCCTCAGTAACACAGAATAGCAAAAAAGTGAGGCTGGCAGAGCATGAGGAGGAAGAAAGGGAAATGGTGAGACTGAGTGCCTGAGCCTCCATCACACCACCTGCCTTGCAGCATCAGTGCATCTCATGCTTTTCTCCATAGTAAGCTGGCTTCTTCTGTGAACTCCATGTGAATTCTGTTTAGAAATACAAAAACCTCCAGAGCATGTGAAGAATTCTTGGCCCTCTCAGTTGTGTAATTTAATAACCAGTTTTATACAAAAATAAAAACCTATGCTTGTAAAAAAAAGAATTAAAAAAAAAAAAAAAAAGAAAAATCTTACAAGAATTAAAATGAAATTCTGTCCATTCTGAGATGACCAATCCTACAAATTTTGCTGTTAAAATTTCTCATTTGCTTTCCAGATGAGAAAATGCATGAATCATAGAATCACCAAGGTTGGAAAAGACCCACAGGATCACCCAGTCCAACCATCCACCCTCCACCAACAGCTCTCACTAACCACGTCCCTCAACACAACGTCCAAACGTTCCTTGGACACCTCCAGGGTCGGTGACTCCACCACCTCCGTGGGCAGCCCATTCCAATGCCTAAAAAGACCTGTCAAAAATACCAGGTACAGACTTGTAGCAACAAGTGTCCATACAGCATCCTAAGAAAGCATTTTGTAGAACGTTTTTCCAACCCGAGACTTCCTATGACTTTGCAAAAAGCACTGAATGACATTTTCTGCTCCTGGAGATACCTCTTGTGATTATTTCGAGTACATTGAAATTGAAGATTCTCAAGTTTTCTAAGTTTCTGCTTTCAACACACGCCTTGCAGTGCAGCAAAAGCATCTGAAGAGTAGGAGCTTTGGCAGCCTTGTGGGATCTCCCCTAGCCTTAACATTAGCTCTTGACTAAGCCTTCTGTTCTGTTTCTTTCAGGAAGAAACCCAGGAAGGAATACAGCCTTCTATCTGCAGATCCATAGTTACATTTTAGTTCCACTGACACTCCGCCCTGCCACTGAACAGTCCAAACCAGAGAAGTTTCACAGTCCTTTTTGCCTTCTGAAATCCATTCAGCTACTGATTCTTATTCCCCACCACAAGCAGTGGTGCAGCAGGCAGGGGGTGGGAGAAGCTCAATGAAAAGCAACTTCCTAAATGCTATGGTTTCTAAAACCAACTTCACTTTAACCTAGCTCACTTCCCTGTCTAGCTCATCACACAGCACCCACAACAAAAGAGAACTACTTCTGACATTAACTTAATTCTTAAGGTCACAGGTTAGGACCTTCAGATTCTAAGCATTTGCATCCTGAAAAAATAAGACTAAATTTACCCATACATTCCTGGCTCTTGGGACAACCTTAAAAAAAAAGTTTTTCTTAAAGCCAAAATGTTAACAGCCGCTCCCTTCCAGAAGTACAAATTACAGCCAAGTCCAGGCACACGAACTGGGTCAGGAACAGTTTTTGTTATAAACCAGGTCACACCCTTGTGTATACAATTTCTCATTCACTCGCCCTAGCCCAGAGTTCAGAGATTCACAGCATGTACATGAGAGCAAGTCCTTCCCAGCTTCTAGCAATCAGCAAATACTTCAAAAAAAAAAAAAAGACCTCTGCACCTCTGGGGACGATGATCTAACTCAAAGCCTGCTGCCAAGGCAGCCTGGAGATTTCCTTCCCCCATCCCCTCCCCTGCCTTTTTTTGTTTTGCTTTGTTTTATAATACATATCTGCACAGTGTATACGATGAGCAGCTTCCTTGGTTTTCAGGTGGAACATTTCCAAATAGCACGAAGAAACACGGCGTCCTCCTTGCTCTTCAGCCAACAAGGACACCACAAAGATTAAACAACACAGCACAAAAAGGCAAATTTCAGACATGTCCATATGATCTCTGTAATTATTAAATATTCAGGTGTTTTATGGCTTTAGCTAACACCTTAAACGATCCACATCTTGGGATTAAGTCAAGCCTTTCTTTGCAACAGAATGAACTTGCAGTTCCAATTACACAACAGCACATCCCACTAAAGGCAGGAGAGCAGAACGGTGTGTGTTGAAGCACGAGACACTGCACACATACCCAAGGTGGGATGGAGGGCCTTGCAGAGTGTTCAGGAGTGCTCAGCACAGCCATGAACTCACCATAGCCAGCACAATTCCCCCACATCCCACAGCCCAGGAGGCACCCATTGACCACGAGCAGCAGGCCAGAACAAAGCCCCACATCAGTTTTGCAGCCCTCTGATGAGGAAAAGGAACCAAGCGCCACCTGAGGAAACCTCCTGTCATCAGTGACTTCATGAAGGGTGCACAACATCTATGTATCCTATGTACTTTGCATTCACTAAACATTCACTGGTACAGAGGTTGTTACAATCCACAACTCAATCACCAGGTCTTACCACACAATAGCCTCATGTTCATCAACTTGCTTACAAGTCTAAGTAAACACTAATCTTTTTGTAATTCAGCTTAGAAGAGCTGTGTTCCTTGGTGCCTTACTGAGGAAACAGCACTGTTATCCATTATTTGTCTACAGAACACGTGGCTGTGAATTAGAACACTGTCATGCACTAAGGCTGGTATATCACATGCTATTTTGTTCACTCGTATGGTGAACATCAATTCGACAAGTTGTTTCTTCAAAGCTCCTACAAGACATTAACTTCATTTCACAACATGTGACACATTTCCTTTAAAGACTAGTGATTGAAAGGCAAATGGGGGAAGCAGCACCCCAAATTCAAATATGACCGAGCAGCACAAATCAGCCAGGCAGGTCAGCGCCAAAATAGCTCTCACCACGTGAGAGTGTCAACCTAACAATGATTTCTGGGAAATAGAGCAGAGGAAAAAAAAAGCTGAAGTCACACAAAAAGCAAACCTATGCAGAACAAATACAGCCTGGCAGGAACGCTGGGGGAAAGCTGGAAGAGAAAAATGCGATGAGAAGAGGGCAAAGCCTAGAAGTACAAAGCTTGATTTATTTAATACTTTGCTAATGCCTTGCACTGCACAGCTGAAAGTACATTACAAATGTCAGATACACTTCTGCTTCATATCAATTGCAATAATTCTCACATTTTGCTGTTGATAGAAACATGGAACCCGGGTGAGCAGAGAGGAAAGCATGGACAGGGCACCAGTGCCCAGAGCTGAAGCCTCCCTCCTCTTGGGATGGGGCATCCTGCTCACTGCAGCATGCCTTGGGAAATCCTTCTGGCATGTTCATGGACATATACTGAGACAAAGCCAGTTCTGTTTAAATTATTACCCCACTGGTTTCATGAATCTCTTGCCTGAATTATTTGTCAGGCAACAATGGTTCACTGTATGGTTCAACACTTAATTGGAATGGAATGTGACTGAAGTCATTACATCTTGTTTAAAAACAAAGTATGTTTTAAAGGATGCATCTAGAAACCAAGCCAGGAACTGAAAAAAATAAAATATAACAATTTAGGGATTGTTAAGTGTCACATTCATTTAGCACTGTTCATCTCACTATATCAGGGTACTTCATGTGATTTTGCATCTTCCACATCTCACAGCACAGCAAAAAAAAAAAAAAAAAGTTAAAATCTGGAGAATTCACAGCACCTATCAGTGAAAAAGATCAACACTGCTTTAACAATATGTTAACTCAAAATGAATTAGGACAACTGGAAGAGAAGATTTTCATTTGCACAGCAGTAGGGAAACAAGGTCACCAAGGGTGGTAACACCCAGAGTGAGCAGCTCTGATAAACCTGCAAGTGCAGTCACCATGATGACACTAGTTCCACTGACAGAGAAAGGAGGATAGATTCCTCCTTTCTTACTCCATGGAAGGGGTAATTAGACTAAATGAGACCAGGTATACACAATTACGATAGTGAACCCTGACTTACAAAAATGGCACCAAGAACATAGCTACAACTCCCTGAGATCCTTGAGATCTAAAGATTAGAGTTGTTAATTTTCTTCTTCTGAATTAGCAGCATAACCAAGCAAAATGTTCCATCCGCCCCATTCCATGACTTGCTAGCTGCTTTTATCTAGTCATACAGAATAGTTATCAGCCAGCCCTTTTTTTTCCCTCCTCTTAAAATTAAATGATGGTTGTTGTTGTTTTTTTTTTTTGTTTGTTTGTTTTTTTTAATCCATAGAGAGTCCTAATCGAGTTTCACTCTACTCCTTTTCCTGTTTTCACATCTTGATGAGAAATCACGATCTCCATATTTAACAGATTAAGTGATACAGGATTGCTGTTTTTGCACAAACCTGACATGAACACAGCAGCAAGTCACAACTGAACTACAGAATTTTCAAGAGCGGAAAAGATCATCCCTCACCTACTCTGCAGTGCAGTCAGCCTTCTTCCCTCTTGCCTCTCATTTAATAAGGGCATGAATTTCCACACTGAACACATATTTTCAGTTTGGATGAAAGCAAGCTACATTTCATTTTCAATGTCATTTTCTTCCTTCATGGCATTAAAAAAAAAAAAAAAAAAGTAGGAAGTTACTATAATAAATCCTCTTCAAAAGATACAGGAAATTTTATTAACTAAATTTGCATGTCATATTGCAACATTCAGACTGCTGTTTAGTAATACTTTATTACATAAAGGAAGTGACATTTGAGTTTTCTTAACCAAGATGTGTACAGCCGGACCCTTCTATTTTCCTACGCAGTTCTCACAGATTTTATCAACCAAAACAAGTAGTTCTGCTGTGTGCATGTATACATAAGCAGGCATGAAAGAACCACCAAGTGCAATGAAGTACTAGTACATCTTGATGGGAAAAGAAGCATATGTGCAAAACAACAAAGTGCTCATTAGAGGAAATCCTCTCTGGCCACCCTTCGTCCTGAAGGGGCTGCAAGGGACTGCCAAACACCAGAGGCAATGTCACACTTGGACTCTCCCATCAGACAATTACGCTGTCTGCAGCACACACCAGCAGATCTGCCAGGCAAGAAGCAGGCTGGGGAGGAAAACACAGGAGCACAGGCACTGCTCACAGAGGCAGCAGCGCAGAGAGCACCAAAATGACAGGTGCTTTCCTCTGCCCTCTGCACCCAGTGCTACCCAGCATCATCCTTTACTTGGGTACTTGCACAGATGCAGTCAGGAAACTCCTCCATCAGCAACCAAGTGCCACAGCTCTATTTCAACAACAAAATAAGTGTTAAGCTATACAACAGAATCATAGAATGGCCTGGGTTGAAAAGGACCACAATGATCATCTAGTTTCAACCCCCTGCTATGTGCAGGATCACCAGCCAGCAGACCAGGCTGCCCAGAGCCACATCCAGCCTGGCCTTGAATGCCTCCAGGGATGGGGCATCCACAGCCTCCTTGGGCAACCTGTTCCAGTGCATCACCACCCTGTGCTATAAAGTAACAACTTCTGTAATCCTTCAGGAAAGAGACTGATGTTGAACAATAGCTACAGCTATGTGCACAGACAGACAAAAAGCAAATAGCTCCACAAAAAAATACCACTGAATGTACTGTGCAAGTACAATCATGTATACAAATTCAGTAATGAAGACTCAATTCTCAAATAAGCAATGATTCACAACAGATATCCACAGAACTACAGGGTTTGGTAGCAAACCCTTAAGAAAAGAGGAACAGTTCTTAAGAGAGGAGCCTGTTCATCTTGAGCAGTCAGAACACATTTTATAAGGCAGCTTTGTAAATCCTTACTGCAACAGACCTGCCATGGTGCTGGGGAGGCTTCAGACAAGCTAGGACTCAGGAGCAGCACACAAACACTGGTGACAGCTAAAATCCTAGAAACCAAAATATTTAGAATCCCAGGCTTTTATGATGCATCTATTCTACCAGGTCTGTGTTTCCACAGTTTTTACAACATAAGCCACAGCTAGATTTCAAGGCTTCTTGCAATGTTAAGTATATAATTAACCAATAATAACCATGCAATCTTATTAAAATCTTTCACTAACGATACCAGAAATGCAACATGATTGCTTACACCACTCGCTCAAAAATGCTGTAGGCCAATAATGCCAGACATTACTGGGCATCTTCCACGACACATCATTGTACTGCTCTGTTTCAAATTCAGTCTTAGAAATATCACTGTCTGTCCTCAGAACCACGGGCCATAAACTAGAGGCACAACAGTATTTGTTACTATTGACACAAATCTGGGGGTAGCTCTCATTTGGAACGTGCCACCCCCATCAGAACTTGACAACCGTTGGTAAAATCTTTTGATGGAGAGACTGAACATGAGCCAGCAGTGCGCCCTGGCAGCTCGAAAGCCAAACGGGATCCTGGGCTCCATCAGCAGAGGGGTGGTCAGCAGACAGAGGGAGGTGATTGTCCCTCTCTACTCGGCTCTTGTGAGGCCCCACCTGGAGTACTGTGTCCAGGTGTGGAGCCCTCAGTACAAGAAAGACATTGAGATTTTGGAAAGGGTCCAGAGGAGGGCGACCAAGATGATCAGGGGGCTGGAGCACCTCCCCTATGAGGACAGGCTGAGGGAGCTGGGCTTGTTCAGCCTGGAGAAGAGAAGGCTGCAGGGTGACCTCATTGCAGCCTATCAATACCTGAAGGGAACCTACACCCAGGAGGGGAGTAAACTCTTCAAAAGGGCTGACAATAGCAGGACTAGGGGAAATGGATCCAAGTTGAAGGAGGGAAGATTGAGGTTGGATGTTAGGGGGAAGTTCTTCACAAGGAGAGTGGTTAGGCCCTGGAACGGGCTGCCCAGGGAGGTTGTGGATGCCCCATCCTTGGACGTGTTCAAGGCCAGGTTGGACGGGGTCCTGGGCAACCTGATCTGAATGTGTACGTTTGGTGGCCCTGCTAGGCAGGGGAGTTGGAACTACGTGATCCTTGAGGTCCCTTCCAACCCGGGTGATTCTGTGAATTTGATTTTTTTCCTGCAAATGTACAAATGGTACATCAGGCCCAGTGCCACATGAGGCTGGAACAGGAAGCACCCTGCCTCTGCACAAAGGCAGTCTGCAGGTTACAAAGCAGTCGAGCTGCCACTAAACTTTGGTTCAGAATAGCTCAGGCCAGCCCACTTCACAAATTTCCTAACCACCTACACAGACAATGGAGTCCTTACCTTTCTTTTCTTTTGTAAAAGGCACATAGTCTTCCCTGTCTTTGTGCTCAAGAGCTTCCTTCTCCAAAAATGCAAGGAGTCGTTCCCTGTCAAAAGGACCCGAGGCCTTTTTAGCAGTCTGGTCTTTCTGTCGGAAGCCTGCAGGCAGAAGTGCATTCTGCAAAACAAAATGGAGCAAATAAACACAGCTTAAAAAGTCTGAGTGAACCTGCTCAGATTCCTCTCCTTCTTTCTCCTCCTCTTGCTCAACGTTCAAGCCCAACATCTTTATGTACAATAGCACCTAGCACAAAGCTTGCTAGTTATTTAGTATTTCTTCCCTAGAATGAGCACTGTTTAACTGAAGAACAAATAAACTCCTGCTATTCAGTTTTAGACAATCAGTAAGCAGTCCTCTTCCTCCACCACTAATTTCCCCGTGCTTAAGACAACTGTCCATGCTGCTTTCTGTTAACAACACCAAGTATTTCTACTTCTGGCCTGATTCAAGTTGCTGGTTTTTTTCCACTGTTTTGCTTTTTTTTTTTTCTTGCTATATCAACATACTTTGGCTAAAGAAAAAAAGGATATGCAAACAGAAATTCAGACTCATAAAAAGGCAGTCAATCCCTTTTGCCAGTTCTCCTCTATTTAAGTGTCAATAAGCCAAAGTAAATTAGAATATCAGGAATACTTTTCTGTACAACAGAACAAATAATCGTAAAATTCTTAAGCAATCCCTGAATATCAAGTTGAAAGTTTATGCTAACAAAAACAAGAACAGAGAGAATCAGGAGGTGGAAACTCTGGTCTTGGATTCAGACTCTATCTGCAGGACCTGTACAGGACATCACTCAGCTCTTCATAATAGAAGGCTAAAATATTCTTTAACATCCCATGCTGACAACTGTCCAGGTGTTGAGAAAATTTTTGCCCCCTCTTTGCAAACTCAGCAAGGTACAAGAAGGGGAACAGTCATGCTGCTAGACACAAGATGAGGAATCTTTGGAAGAGTTTAGTGCTTTCCCTCTCCCATCCAACAGCAGAAGTAACAAAATAGCAATGTATGCAAAGAGCTGTTTACCATCCAGCATCGGAAACAGGAAAGTTTAACAGGCCTTTCTAATAAATTCTTTCAAGATCACTTAAGAGCAACTTTTCCTGTATAAATAAATCCCACACAGCTTCTCCTAACAAACCCCTATTATATTTTCCTCTACTGTGGTTGTACTCACATTGCAAACAGGAAACAACCCTGTTGGGACATTATATACACATATGTATCCGTAAATAAGACTGCTAGCAGATTAGGAAAAAATTCCATCCAAGACAATACTAACTACAAGCTGAGTTCAAGTAAAAGAAAGCCTCAAGTTTCTGCACACTAATTTATGAACTAATGAAAAGAAATAACTTCTCTCTGCTAATGCCTACCTCAGGGTCAAGATCATCCAAAACTGTTTCCAGCTGTTTCAGTTCTTCTTCTGACAGCTTGCCGAGAATGTCATCCTCATCGAGATCTTTGTACTTGTCCAAGTCTTTTCGAAATGGGAGCGTCATGACTTGGGCAGTAGCAAGTTGCTCAAATGCTTCAGAACCTGAGTCTTACTCTTAACCAGATCTATAAAGGGAGAAAAGATTTTGAAATAAATAGCCATAATTAAGGTAAATATCCCAACTAAAAAGCATATTCAGCTTGTAAATGCATTTCTGAAAGGGAAGTTGTTAATCCCTTATTCATATTGATCTGCTGCTCTATGAAAGACACAGAGGGCTTGGAAGTCTTGCTTCTTCCCTGAGCAGAATCCCACTCTGCAATGCCTTCTTCTCCCATCACATCAACAGCTAAAACAACAACACAGAAGCAAGCTAAACATATTTTAAGATCCACGTCTGTACCTAATTCTCTTGAGAACTCCAAAGCTGTATTTCCCAAAGAGCAGGGCAGGACGTGGAGTGGAAGGAGACAACAGTTATACTCCAATTAATAAGCCCAGCTTAATGCCACCAGTTTTTACAGATACTCAGTCAAAAAAGCAGCTAAGATGTTTCATACTTGCTGCTGCTGCTGCTGTTTGAAGCCAGTAAAGGAGTACATCAATACAAACAAGATATTTGGTTATTAGTGACTCATATCCTTGCCTATTACTTACAGGGGAAGCAGAGGATGTTTATTAATTATATCACTGGAACTGAAGTACCCTCCTGTTCCGTCAGATGAAAATTAAAGCACCTTGATGCAAAGCTTAGGGAACACAATGTCTGTGTAACAGTCCACTCAGTCCCACTGGCGAAAGGACATAACAGGCTGTGTAATTGCTCCCTATATTACATCTGGAAGAAATCTGGGTCCTTCTGCAGTACTTCTTACATCCTAAGAAAACACAGGCAACCTTTGATCTAAACGCTTGAGCATTTGATTAGGAACAAAATGTACAGATAATCACAGTGATTTTTAAGCAGACAACCTATTTTTCTCTTATTTTCTCCAAGAACTTTCAGGATTCTGCTGTTGCTCTGCAAAATTCATGCTTCGAGTTGAACGTGCAGGCACACACACAAAAAGGGGAACGTGAATGACTCCCTGTGAACAACAGCATCCTTAATGCATTTGGGAGCTAAAGCAAAATCCATACATCTTAGCTAATGAGCATCTGACTCCTTTCTCAGCCCTATAGAAATACAAAGCAAATAAATCAGGCATTCAGCAAACACTGTTTGTTCTATGAAGCCCAAGTTCCAGTTCAGATGATCACATCACATATAATAACTACGTTAATTCAAACCTGGACTTACTCTGTACTTCAAAAGCAGATGAACAAAGTTATTACCTCTTAAGTAAAAGGGCCATATAGCTATGCTATACCGAGGGACCGGGCTTACTGGATTCCTTCTCCTCACTTGTTTACACCCAGAAAGGTCTCTCTCTGAATGCTGGCAATGTCACAGACATTGGGATATTTTAATTCAGAGACACTGAACAGAGCTGAGCACACAAAGGTTCACCCAGGCTGTTGGGCTGTTTTACCTGTAAAGTCTATCTGGCTTTAACAGGACTGGTAAATTTCCAGCTCCCACCAACCCAAGCTATTTACATTTACAGCTATTTTCAACAAAACAAAACAAAAAACATTGCTAATACACACTATAATTTGCTCATAAACCATGGTGTTGACATTGATAGGATAACTCCAAGGCTGAGCTACCAACACAGAACAAGATCTCTTGAAAATAACAGCAATCAGGAGGAATTCTCAACCTTGTTACATCGAGAGAATGGTGGCTGGCTTCCCTGGAACTAAAGCCAATGGCACTGGGAGAGCTTGGGCCTTTCACAAGAGGCCACAGAGCTGAGAGCATGAGATACAGAATTTAACAGCTACAGAAGTACAGAGCAGCACACCTATGCTTTTCAGAAGTAACCAGAGAAGCATCTCTCCTGGCTGTTGCACCACATCTGACAGCCCTACGGTGTTTGCTTCTGGAGCTGCACGACAGCTGAAGAACAACTAGATTGCTGCTGCAGCACATGCCACACAATCTGCATGCAAACTTCTCATTCCTAAAGCCTTACTGCTTTCCTCTGCTGCACAATTTAAAGCATTAAACACTATCGTAAGGGAAAAACATTTCCTGCAGCCACTTACACAGCATTGTTTGTGACCAGGCTGCACAGCCCAAGTCCTCAATCAACGTGCTGCCATTTCTGCATGGCCATTTGCATCCAAATATTAAAAGGTGTAATTTCAACTGGTAATTACAAGGAGCACACTAATTAGCATGCTGCACAGTAATGCTCCCCTTACTCTGACCAAGAGTAACACTGCACAACCATACATTGCATCCAGGCAGGCTGTGTTTCCTCTCTATAAATAGCTGCAAAATGCCATCACTCAGAATTAATTACCTTCTATTTACTGGATTTACATCTTTCACATTGGAAAATGACTCATCCTTTGTAATTCATTAATGCCCGGGTCATAACCCATAGCTTCTTACTGTCTTTACAATACAATCAAAGTGTCCACTTCAAATCCTGGAACGTTCACACACACACACACAAAAAAAAAAAAAAGAGGAGAAAAAGCATTATAGCAAAAAACCGCGTTAATTTATAACAGAAGCTTCTCTTTAGCAGGAAGAGAACCACCTGTGACCTAGCAAATTCAAAGTGTTTTGGACACATTTTCTAATATCTGTCAAAGTATTTGCAATACGTACATATAAAATGCTAAAAATCAGGTTTTAAAGCATGGTGTCAGAATTCTCATTGCCTAAAAAGGACATGAAAGCCAGCCAAAGTCATCATCTGATCAAACCATCCCCTCCACCTCCCACCAAACACATCTGGTATTCTCACTTGCCTTCCATTATTCATGGTAACAGCACAGTTGAGAAAGACACTCATGTAAAAAAAAAATTACAGACTGTTAGAAGGGGCAGTTATTTGGACTGGGAATATTAATGGCACATCTTGCTGCAAAATAACCAGTAATAACCAGCAATTTGGGCTTTGCAAATACTTGGCACTTTTTGACGAGCAGCGCTGTTTTTTTGCTAAGTGTCCTTACAGCTTTACCACAAAAATATTACATACATAGAATGTCTGCAGGGCATATAACTATCATGTACAGTAAGCACTTCATTCTAGCAACCTGATAGCCGTATAAGGAGCATCCATCACTTCCAATCAAGCAAGTTTTAACTCGTTGCCTATTAGAGAAGATATATTAGAAGGGAAGATATTCTGATGAATCAATGAACAACTAAGGAAGTGAGAAGACAGTAATTACCTTATTTCAGGCCATTTTATAACTACCAGACTCATCCCTTGAAAGGCTATCAAGCAACTTCCATATACTCAATCTACAATTAAGATGTTTTTGTTCTCTTCTATCTAAAAGCATATTAAAAGCAAACAAATTTAAAAACAATCACTCCCCAGTTTTCTTTGCTAACTTCTGTTATATGTAAGGACATCATTTCTTGGGATCCCAGCAGGAGTAAGTGTAGCAATATCTCATGTACAGGACACCAGCCCCGCTGAAGTCCTCTGTAAATGGTTTCTGCAACTTAGATTTTAAAACAGAAGAGACTTCAGGAACAATGAAGTGAGCTGGTTTTGGCCAACACATCTACAGAACTGCCTAAAATCCCACTTGCTCCCTCAGATCCTCCTCCTCACACGCCCCTGCTGAAGCAGCGTGGCCACAGGTGGCATTTCCCAAGGGAATTTCCACTGTGGCAAAACTACACATTAACTACTGATTAACATGTTTTGCTCTTGAGTTATCTTTATGCACCAAGCCAAGAAGACAAATGACTATAACTAAACACTCCCACTCCAGCAAGCTCTTTAGGACAGTTTGCAACACCTGAGAACACTGTGGCCAGGCAGCACTACACCAGAAGGCTCTCAGACATCCCCAAGCCCTCCATGCACACCCAGCACAGGGCAGGTGGACCTGGCACTGCAGCTGACATCCCCTGGCTGGGTGACACAGAGCCAGCAGGTGGCATCTCGCCTGTGCCTGCAGCTGTGCCTCCAGGAAGTGAAGGAGAGCTGTTCTGGGCTATTTTCCTACATAAACAAGCCTGAGGCTTCATTCTGCTCACACAATTTGCTCAGTTCTATATGGAGCAAAGAGCCCTCTCAAGTTCACGCATGTCAGTACAGCCACATGGGGACAGAGGTGAGCAGAGAGCAGCGCTGAATAACTGAAAGCACAATGAGGGATAAATATTTCCACGGCAAAGGAGATTGGAGACCATCTGCACTCCTGTTCAGTCCTGCTCCATCTCAGGGGGCACTCGGGATGCACACAAGATCCATGGTTATGTTCTGCACTCCTGTCCGGTTCCACAGCTGTGTGGAATTAAGGCTGTAAGCTCGCTAACAGAGGCCTACTCAATGCAGCCTACTCCTGCACACCTTGGGAAAACCTGTCACTCACTACAGGGCAGCAGATCCATGTCCTTGTTGGCCTATGCAATACCAGCGCTGGCAGCTGGGAACCAGGGGTGCCTGCCCAGCAGCTCACCACAGAGCTGAGGTGATGCCGTGGCAGCATGCCCACCTGCAGAACACCGCCAGACCTGCTCATCCAACTGGCTGCAGGGCAGGCGTTGCGATAAGAACCAAACAGAGGGCAGGGACAGGAGAATGGAGGGATAAGCACCTCGGAAGCATTCCAGAGAGGCCTGTTACATGCCACATGCTGGCCAAACCTATCACCTATCGTGGACATTCCTCCAGAAGAAATCTCAGCTCCAGGCGATCCCCGCTCACAGCGCAGCACCACCGCTGCAGGAGCCTCTCACTGCAGCTTTTCGGCAACCCCTGGACTCTCTTCACCAGAGGCACTGACACACGACATTCACTCTCAGAGAAACTTCTACCGACCCTTCAATTAAAGGGAAACAAATCAACTATACAAGCTGTCTGAAGGAACATTCATACGTTTGTAAAAAAAGGTTTCAAGACGTATAAGCCCACAGCTTAACAACAGAGGGATTCACACTTGCACGTTACATTGCTTGTTTTCCTGTTGCCTTTCACCTCGAGCATCAGAGGTTGGCTTTCTGCACCCATCTATGGTATTTAACGCTTTAAAGCCCAGCAGCACGGCGCTCGCTACCGGAAGACTCTCATGTCAGCACCACGCCGAGCACCCCTCCGCCATCCACCGGAAAAGCGTTCTTCCTCACCGAGTGCCGCTAACACGCGCTCCGTAAGCCGCAGAAGACGCGCGGCGAGTTGACAGACGCGAGCTGACCGGACCCGCGGGCAGAGCTCCCGCCCCGCAGCTCGCGGACGGCACGGCCGAGCGGGGCAGCCCGCAGCGCACCGGGCCGAGAGGCGCACGGCGCGGCGCCCCCAGGCCTCCGAACGGCCGCCCCGGGACCGCCCGGATGAGAGGAGCGGCGGGAGCCGCCCAGCCGGGCCGGGGCGCGAGGAGAGCGAGCGGGCGGGCGCGGCTGAGAGCGGCGCGGGCCGCCGACGCCGGAGGTGGGATGCACGGAACGGCGCTCGGGGCCGCAGAGGGCAGCGGGCCAGACCCGCGCCCCGACCGCCCGGCTCCC